CAGTAAATTTCCATCCAAGTTGTCAGACCCCGGTGGATTGTCATTGTTGATAGACAACAATACTTTTTTCACCTCTTCCACACTCCAGAATTCAAAATTACAATGCTTGTCTTTCATAATTTGGTCAGATATACTTGGATGTGTAGTGTCAGCGTTTGTTGCTGGCATGTCAGGCCTAAGTTTGCTAATCTTGCCAATGAAAAAATCATTAAAGTAGTTGGCAATATCAGTTGGTTTTGTGATGAATGAGCCATCTGATTCAATAAATGATGGAGCTGAGTTTGCTTTTTTTCCCAACATTTCATTTAAGGTTCTCAAAGCTTTTTACTATCATTCTTTATGGCATTTATCTTTGTTTCATAGTGTAGTTTCTTCTCCTTTTTATTCAGTTTAGTCACATGATTTCTCAATTTGCAATACGTTTGCCAATCAGTTGTGCAGCCAGACTTATTTGCCATTCCTTTTGCCTCATCCCTCTCAACCATACAATTTTTCAATTCCTCATCAATCCACAGGGATTTAACAGTTTTTTAAAGTAATTGTTTTAATGGGTGCCTGCTTATTAGTAACTGGAATAAGCAATTTCATAAATATGTCAAGTGCTGTGTCTGTTTGCTCTTCATTACACACCATAGACCAACAAATATGATTTACATCAACAACATAGGAATCACTACAAAACCTATTGTATGACCTCTTATACACTATATTAGGCCTTTGGAACTTTGGTTTTCCTAGATATGGCTACTATATTGTGATCAATACATCCGATGGATCTAGATACTGCTTTCAAGCAAATTTCTGCAGCATTAGTAAAGATGTGATCAATAAATGTTGATGATTTCATTCCTGTGCTGTTTGTAACTACCCTGGTAGGTTGACTGATAACCTGAACCAGGTTGCAGGCACTCGTTACAGTTTGACGTTTTTTCTTGAGTGGGCAGCTTGATGAAAGCCAGTCTATTTAAGTCACCCAGAAAATATACCTCTGTTGATATCACATACATTATCAAGCATTTCACACATGTTATCCAGATACTGACTGTTAGCACTTGGTGGTCTATAGCAGCTTCCCACCAGAATGGGCTTTAGGTGAGGCAGATGAACATGAGATCCTCTCTAAGCTTTACAGGAATGTGGTTCTGAATATAAAAAGCAACACCTCCACTATTTGCATTTCTATCTTTTCTGTAAATGTTATAACCTTGTTTTGCTACCACTGTATCATCAAAAGTATTATGTAAGTGAGTTTCAGAGATTGTCAGAATATGAATGTCATCTGTTACTAGCAAATTATTGATTTCATGAACATTGTTTCTTAAGCTACATATGTTAACGTGGGCTATTTTGAGCACTTTTCTTCTGGGATGCTTACTTGTTTTTATTGCTTTACTGGGAAGCTTAGCAGCAGTAGATGTGCTCATGTTATTTATGTTAGTGCAGGATGAGCTGCACACAACAGACTTCCTCCTAGGGAATACCGGCTCAGTCCCATGTGGCTCAGTTGGTAGTGCATGGCGCTTACAACGTTAGGGTTGTGGGTTCGATTCCCATGAAGGACCAGTACAAAAATGTATGCACTCACTACTGTAAATCGCTCTGGATAAGAGTGTCTGCTAAATTACCAAGAAATGTTTGCATGTTAAGTTTATATTTTTGTTCAGTGTAGATCAGAATTGTGTGTGTGTGTGTGTATATATACAGTTGAAGTCGGAAGTTTACATTTAAACTCAGTTTTTCACAATTCCTGACATTTAATCCTAGTAAAAATTCCCTGTCTTAGGTCAGTTAGGATCACCACTTTATTTTAAGAATGTGAAATGTCAGAATAATAGTAGAGAGGATGATTTATTTCAGCTTTTATTTCTTTCATCACATTCCCAGTGGGTCAGAAGTTTACATACACTCAATTAGTATTTGGTAGTATTGCCTTTAAATTGTTTAACTTGGGTCAAATGTTTCGAGTAGCCTTCCACAAGCTTCCCACAATAAGTTGGGTGAATTTTGGCCCATTCCTCCTGACAGAGCTGGTGTAACTGAGACAGGTTTGTAGGCCTCCTTGCACGCAAACGCTTTTTCAGTTCTGCCCACAAATGTTCTATAGGATTGAGGTCAGGGCTTTGTGATGGCCACTCCAATACCTTGACTTTGTTGTCCTTAAGTCATTTTGCCACAACTTTGGAAGAATGCTTGGGGCCATTGTCCATTTGGAAGACCCATTTGCGACCAAGCTTTAACTTCCTGACTGATATCTTGAGATGTTGCTTCAATATATCCACATCATTTTCCTTCCTCATGATGCCATCTATTTTGTGAAGTGCACCAGTCCCTCCTGCAGCAAAGCACCCCCACAGCATGATGCTGCCACCCCCGTGCTTCACGGTTGGGATGGTGTTCTTCGGCATGCAAGCAATCCCCCTTTTCCTCCAAACATAACGATGGTCATTATGGCCAAACAGTTCTATTTTTGTTTCATCAGACCAGAGGACATTTCTACAAAAAGTACGATCTTTGTGCAGTTGCAAAGCGTAGTCTGGCTTTTTTTTTGGCGGTTTTGGAGCAGTGGCTTCTTCCTTGCTGAGCGGCCTTTCAGGTTATGTCGATATAGGACTCGTTTCACTTTGGATATAGATACTTTTGTACCCGTTTCCTCCAGCATCTTCACAAGGTCCTTTGCTGTTGTTCTGGGATTGATTTGCACTTTTCGCACCAAAGTCTGTTCATCTCTAGGAGACCGACCGCGTCTCCTTCCTGAGCGGTATGACGGCTGCGTGGTCCCATGGTGTTTATACTTGCGTACTATTGTTTGTACAAATGAACGTGGTACCTTCAGGCATTTGGACATTGCTCCCAAGGATGAACCAGACTTGTGGAGGTCTACAATTTCTTTTCTGAGGTCTTTGCTGATTTCTTTTGATTTTCCCATTATGTCAAGCAAAGATTAAGGTAGGCCTTGAAATACATCCACAGGTACACCTCCAATTGACTTAAATTATGTCAATTAGCCTATCAGAAGCTTCTAAAGTCTGGATAAAATGTAAATGACATCATTTTCTGGAATTTTCCAAGCTGTTTAAAGGCACAGTCAACTTAGTGTATGTAAACTTCTGACCCACTGGAATTGTGATACAGTGAATTATAAGTGAAATAATCTGTCTGTAAACAATTGTTGTAAAAATTACTTGTCATGCACAAAGTAGATGTCCTAACCGACTTGCCAAAACTGTAGTTTGTTAACAATAAATTTGTGGAGTGGTTGAAAAACGAGTTTTAATGACTCCAACGTAAGTGTATGTAAACTTCCGACTTCAACTATATATACGCTGCTCAAAAAAATAAAGGGAACACTAAAATAACACATCCTAGATCTGAATGAATGAAATAATCTTATTAAATACTTTTTTCTTTACATAGTTGAATGTGCTGACAACAAAATCACACAAAAATGATCAATGGAAATCAAATGTATCAACCCATGGAGGTCTGGATTTGGAGTCACCCTCAAAATTAAAGTGGAAAACCACACTACAGGCTGATCCAACTTTGATGTAATGTCCTTAAAACAAGTCAAAATGAGGCTCAGTAGTGAGTGTGGCCTCCACGTGCCTGTATGACCTCCCTACAACGCCTGGGCATGCTCCTGATGAGGTGGCGGATGGTCTCCTGAGGGATCTCCTCCCAGACCTGGACTAAAGCATCCGCCAACTCCTGGACAGTCTGTGGTGCAACGTGGCATTGGTGGATGGAGCGAGACATGATGTCCCAGATGTGCTCAATTGGATTCAGGTCTGGGGAACGGGCGGGCCAGTCCATAGCATCAATGCCTTCCTCTTGCAGGAACTGCTGACACACTCCAGCCACGTGAGGTCTAGCATTGTCTTGCATTAGGAGGAACCCAGGGCCAACCGCACCAGCATATGGTCTCACAAGGGGTCTGAGGATCCCATCTCAGTACCTAATGGCAGTCAGGCTACCTCTGGCGAGCACATGGAGGGCTGTGCGGCCCCCCAAAGAAATGCCACCCCACACCATGACTGACCCACCGCCAAACCGGTCATGCTGGAGGATGTTGCAGGCAGCAGAACGTTCTCCACGGCGTCTCCAGACTCTGTCACGTCTGTCACATGTGCTCAGTGTGAACCTGCTTTCATCTGTGAAGAGCACAGGTCACCAGTGGCGAATTTGCCAATCTTGGTGTTCTCTGGCAAATGCCAAACGTCCTGCACGGTGTTGGGCTGTAAGCACAACCCGCACCTGTGGACGTTGGGCCCTCATACCACCCTCATAGAGTCTGTTTCTGACCGTTTGAGCAGACACATGCACATTTGTGGCCTGCTGGAGGTCATTTTGCAGGGCTCTGGCAGTGCTCCTCCTACTCCTCCTTGCACAAAGGCGGAGGTAGCAGTCCTGCTGCTGGGTTGTTGCCCTCCTACGGCCTCCTCCACGTCTCCTGATGTACTGGCCTGTCTCCTGGTAGCGCCTCCATGCTCTGGACACTACGCTGACAGACACAGCAAACCTTCTTGCCACAGCTCGCATTGATGTGCCATCCTGGATGAGCTGCACTACCTGAGCCACTTGTGTGGGTTGTAGACTCCGTCTCATGCTACCACTAGAGTGAAAGCACCGCCAGCATTCAAAAGTGACCAAAACATCAGCCAGGAAGCATAGGAACTGAGAAGTGGTCTGTGGTCACCACCTGCAAAACCAGTCCTTTATTGGGGGTGTCTTGCTAATTGCCTATAATTTCCACCTGTTGTCTATTCCATTTGCACAACAGCATGTGAAATTTATTGTCAATCAGTGTTGCTTCCTAAGTGGACAGTTTGATTTCACAGAAGTGTGATTGACTTGGAGTTACATTGTGTTGTTTAAGTGTTCCCTTTATTTTTTTGAGCAGTGTATATTACCTAGGCCTACTTTCTGCGTAAAGAGGTAGTCCTCGGCTCAGATAGTAACTCTTGTTTAATCCCACCCTCTTTTCCTCCCTCTCTGTGCAGATGGGAGATAGCACGGTGGATCAGAGCGGTCCTATGCGGGTGTTGGTGACCGGGGGGACTGGTCTGGTGGGCAGGGCCATAGAACATGTGGTCAAAGAAGAGGGAGGGGCCAGGGATGGAGAGGAGTGGATCTTCCTCTCCTCTAAGGATGCAAACCTCATGTGAGAGCTACACACGCACACAGACATACGCACTCACTCATAGACAGACACATGGTACACATGCACGCACATATACACTACCAGTCAAATGTTTGGACACACCTACTCATTCAAGGGTTTTTCTTTATTTTTTACATTGTAGAATAATAGTGAAGACATCAAAACTATGAAAGAACACATATGGAATCATGTAGTAACCAAAAAAGTGTTAAACAAATCAAAATATATTTGAGATTCTTCAAATAGCCACCCTTTGCCTTGATGACAGCTTTGCACACTCTTGGCATTCTCTCAACCAGCTTCACCTGGAATGCATTTCCAACAGTCTTGAAGGAGTTCCCACATATTCTGAGCACTTGTTGGCTGCTTTTCCTTCACTCTTCGGTCCAACTCATCCCAAACCATCTCAATTGGGTTGAGTTTGGGGGATTGTGGAGGCCAGGTCATCTGATGCAGCACTCCATCACTCTACTTCTTGGTAAAATAGCCCTTACACAGCCTGGAGGTGTGTTGGGTCATTGTCCTGTTGAAAAACAAAAATGATAGTCCCACTAAGACCAAACCAGATGGGATGGCGTATCGCTGCAGAATGCTGTGGTAACCATGCTGGTTAAGTGTGCCTTGAATTCTAAATAAGTCACTGACAGTGTCACTAGCAAAGCACCCCCACACGATAACACCACCTCCTCCATGCTTTACGGTGGGAAACACACATGCGGAGATCATCCGTTCACCCACACCGTGTCTCACAAAGACACAGCGGTTTGAACCAAAAATCTCCAATTTGGACAAATTTCCACCAGTCTAATGTCCATTGCTCGTGTTTCTTGGCCCAAGCAGGTCTCTTCTTCTTATTGTGTCCTTTAGTAGTGGTTTCTTTGCAGCAATTCGACCATGAATGCCTGATTCACACGGTCCCCTCTGAACAGTTGATGTTGATGTGTCTGCTACTTGAACTCTGTGAAGCATTTATTTGGGCTGCAATCTGAGGTGCAGTTAATTGCCGATTTCTGAGGCTGGTAACTCTAATGAACATCCTCTGCAGCAGAGGTAACTCTGGATCTTCCATTCCTGTGGCAGTCCTCATGAGAGCCAGTTTCATCATAGCCCTTGATGGTTTTTGCGACTGCACTTGAAGAAACTTTCAAAGTTCTTGAAATGTTCCGTATTGACTGACCTTCATGTCTTAAAGTAATGATGGACTGTCGTTTCTCTTTGCTTATTTGAGCTCTTCTTGCCATAATATGGACTTGGTCTTTTACCAAATAGGGCTATCTTCTGTATGCCCCCCTACCATGTCACAACACAAACAATTGGCTCAAACGCATTAAGAAGGAAATAAATTCCACAAATTAACTTAACAAGGCACACCTGTTAATTGAAATGCATTCCAGGGGACTACCTAATGAAGCTGGTTGAGAGAATGCTAAGAGTGTGCAAAGCTGTCATCAACGCAAAGGTTGGCTATTAGAAGAATCTCAAATATACAATATATTTTGATTTGTTGAACACTTTTTTGGTTACTACATGATTCCATATGTGTTATTTCATAGTTTTCACTATTATTCTCCAATGTAAAACTTTTTTACAATAAAGAAAAACCTTTGAATGAGTACATGTGTCCAAACTTTTGACTGGTAGTGTATATATATACATATACACATACACAGGCAAGGCACACACACCTGACCCTCTCCTGCCTCAGTGCTAACTCTGGATGGCTTTGGAGCCCCTGATGAGTTCCTGTGTCTTTGAAAAGTCAAGCTGACTTGTGTGTGGGTTTGTGTATGCTCCCTCAGGGACATTGGTGAGACGCAGGCAGTGTTTCAGAAGCACCAGCCCACCCACGTCATCCACCTGGCAGCCATGGTGGGAGGGCTCTTCAAGAACATGAGGGCCAACCTAGACTTCTGGGTAAGAGGAAGGGATTCAGGAGTTGTAATGACAGAGGCTGCATCTCCAGAAGTGTGCACTTGCTCAATTTCTCACCTTATTTAGAAAATGGTGGAAACTGCCTCCAGCCAATGTTTTTACCAATCCTTTGTTTTTAAATCCATTAAGGGGAGTGTGCAAGTGCACACTTCTGGAAAATGGTGGAGGAAGAGGTCTCAATGTTTATTTACTGATTTTAGGGTACATCCCAATTGGCACCCTATTCACTATGGGCCCTGGTCAAAGGTAGTACACTACTAACTATAGTTAATAGGGTGCCAATTGGGAACCTGGTTCAACCTTATCCATCCATGTGTGTGATTTTGTTGTTTATTTACCAACGTATCCATTCATCCATCCATGTGTGTTCTTCAGAGGAACAACATCTACATAAATGACAACGTTCTGCAGGCAGCACACGAGGTGGATGCTGTCAGGGTGGTCTCCTGTCTCTCCACCTGCATCTTCCCTGACAAGACCACCTATCCCATCAACGAGACCATGGTAACAGGGCATGTGTGGTGTTTGTGTGTGTGTATGTGTGTTGTAGACAGTCAACTACAATCATATCTCTTTCTTAACTTGCAGATCCACAACGGCCCTCCTCACGAGTCTAACTTTGGCTACTCCTATGCTAAGAGAATGATCGATGTCCACAATCGGTGTGTTGGTGTTTTATTTAACCTTCATTTAACCAGGAAGTCTTATTTTACAAGGGAGATATGTGGGTATATGTGCGTGCACAGCTTACCTATTTTGCTATAGATGTCCTCTGCACGCCCACTGACCTCAGCGAGGTCATCCAGAATGGCCTTGTGAGCCTCCTGCACCTCTGACCCTTGACCCTTTAGCTGCTCAGTGACCTTCTCTAGAAGTGAGGCAGAAGACATGAAGTGAACATGATCTGTGTATGTTCAATAATTATGTATTGTGTGTGTGTGTGTGTGTGTTTATTCAATGTTTGTGGATTGAGGTGTGTGTTTGTCTTGCAGGGCTTATTACCAGCAGCGTGGGCGGTGCTACACAGCAGTGATACCAACCAATGTGTTCGGCCCTCATGATAATTTCAACATTGAGGATGGCCATGTACTACCAGGCCTCATACACAAAGCATATATCGCTCAGAGTAAGATAACTACACAACACTCTAGTTCTTTATTTTTCAGCTAACTGTTTTAATCTATACAGTATACCCCCCTACAAGGATCGGTATAGACATTCCTTCTAACAGGCCTTTACGTGTGTGTGTGTTAGAGGAGGGCAGTCCGTTGGTGGTGTGGGGCTCAGGAACTCCCAGAAGGCAGTTCATCTACTCGTTGGACCTGGCTCGTCTCTTCCTCTGGGTGCTGAGAGAGTACCCCGAAGTGGACCCTATCATACTGTCTGGTGAGCACACACACTCTCATACACACTCACTTTCTCTCTCTCATACTCACACTTTAAACAAATATTTTCAGGATTCAGTGTTCATTCTCCCTCTCTCTGTATTTTAGTTGGTGAGGAGGAGGAGGTGTCCATCAAGGAGGCAGCAGAGGCTGTCGTCGAGGCGCTGGGGTTCAAAGGTCAAGTGACTGTATCCTTTCAACTAGGTGCATGGCCAGATATACAGCTCAAACACACACACAAACACAGTCCCTCTCGCTCTCTCTCTTTCATACTCACTTGCTCTCTCACACACACACTTTCAGTAGTAGTGGCAGTGTTTGATTCCCTAACCCCTGTCCTTCAGTATGACACAACTAAAGCAGATGGTCAGTTCAAGAAGACAGCCAGCAACGCCAAGCTGCTGCGGTACCGCCCCAACTTCACCTTTACCCCCTTCAAACAAGGTACCTACCTCCAACGCCAGCAATTTGAAAAACCCCAAAAGTAGATTTAACCAAAAACTGTGCTAAAACATTGACGTCATATCTGTATTCTGCCATCTTTCTGCATGTTCACCATTGCTGTTTGGTTTCTGATGCTGTCTCCTTGTTCCCCCCCCCCCCAAATTCACACGCACAGCCTTGAAGGAGACATGTGATTGGTTCGTGGCTAATTACAACACCGCCCGCAAGTGAAGATTCCTCCAATCTGATTGTCTGGTAGGCAACCAGTCCTAGGAAGGAAGGAGCAGGAAGAGGGGACCCCTCTCGTTGGCAGAGAAATTAGACGTTTTAAAGTTAATTTCCTGCAATTTTACACATTATGATACCAGGAGTTGAATCCCGACTGTATTGACCCCATTCTGGGTCTAGATCTGGCCTGCGGTCCACCTATTGAGGATGGCTGCCCTATATAGTACACTACTTTTGACCAGAGCTCTATGGCACTATGTAGGAAATAGGGTACCATTTGGGACGCTTCCTATCATGTCTGGAATGACCAGCAGGTCTCCTGTCTCCCTCTCTATAACCATGATGATGTCTACACCATAGGAATAGAATGGGTATAATGGACATAGGCTAGTTCTTTGTCCATGGGATTTCCTCAATGGCCACCCAATATGGCAACAAAATAGAATGTTCTACAAATAAAGCACAATAGGAAGGCTCTGTTGCATTCTGTTGTGCTGCCAATTTGAGTCGGTTGTTCACTCTACTCAATTTGTCTACTGTATCATGTAGAATACCAGGTGGTTTGGGATATGTTTTTATATATTTCTTTACTAAATAAAGGGTGCAATATGTACATGAGTGGTGGGCTGAGAGAATAAATCAAGAAAGTTTATTTTAACTGTTGAGTCTGGGTGTCATTGTAGCACTACTTTGTGAGTCTTAGTGCAGAACAGTTAAGCAGAGTTTTGTGGCTCTGGGGTGAAGTTCCCCCTAGGATCAGCTTACCCTACCCTAACCATTAGTGGGTAAAATTAGCCAGATCAGCCTCTAGGGGCAACTTCATTCTACGCCGTGTGGGAGGGTTAGGTATATGGAACACCTGTCTGGTTGATCAGAGGTGTGTGTATGTAAATAGAGTACCACAGTAAGAGTCATAATACCCATAAAACCTAGAGGTCAAACAGGGAAATGGTTCCAATCGTTTTCCACCATTTTTCCCATAGGGGATTTTAGAAACAATTAAAAGGGCTGTGTTTCACAGGCTTACCCTGGCATAAAACTCTCTAGGACAAGGTGACTTATCAATATAGTCGCCTGCATTTACCCCCCCAAAAATGAAATGCTAAATGTGGCCACCAAAGAACTACAAATGCCATGATGATCTGGACGAGACTGCCGAATCGAGGCAAAGGGAAGAATCTCTGGCTTAAATGTTAGCTAAATGTAATGAATAAATAGGCTACATTTCTTTAAAATGGAGAATTCTGTGAACTGTCAAGTACAAGTTTTAAATTGACAATCCCTGTTAGCAAAGGTATCAGCTAGCAATGACGTGCAGGAGCTTGCAGTGATTTGTAGTTTTGCATGATGTCAACTTTGATGGAATTAGCATTTTCGAATCAGCGTAAATGGAGCCGAATATATTGATAAGTCCTTGTCAGAGATTTACATGTTATCAAAACATCACACCAGGGAAAGCCTACACGAAACACAGCCCTTATTTTAAGTGTTTCTAAAATCCTCTATGGGGAAAATGAATGGTGGATAAACTATTGGAACCATTTCTGTTTGACCGCTAGGTTTTATGACACTTCCACCGTGGGACTCTATTAGCTGTTAGCTAAATCTGGTGCAACACATCATTTCTCAGTGCTCTGACAGACATGTTTTTGTTGTACATTGTCCCTGTCCACAAATTTAACTGAATAAAAAAAAAAAAATACTAGGAAGCAAACCGAACCAAAAATGGGGAGGGACGTACCAAAACATTTCACTGAAGACTCTTTGCAACAAAAAAAGGTTTATTGGACAAATTCAGGTTGGTCCCTCAGTTTCATTTGCTTCTGTTTGGTTTCTAGTGAATACCCCCCTGAATTTGTCCATTTGCGAACTGGTTTGCTACTATGTGCACTAATCAAAACACCCCAGGTTATGGAGACGCATCAAATTTACAATTAATATCTACTTCTGATGAACTGTGATTTATATTTAACGATGCATTGACAGCCCATTGTATATTGTGAATAACACACAGCTTAAGGTAGCCTGGTGGATCCAGCCTGAACGCTACATTCACTATTATATTTCACGTGAAAAAAAAGAATAAACACAGATATCAGTCTGGTTCCACGAGGCTAGGCTAAACAGTGTGCTCATAGGTACTAACTAACCATTAGTTGACAAGCCAGTCTAGCTGGCTCAGCAACTCAAGTTGTTTGATAAAGAGCAGAAACTCATATTTAGCCTGGTCCTAGATCTGTGAGCCATCAGCCACTCCATATCATGCCAAATGTTTGGCATATGACATAGAAGTACAAGGAGTGGAATGTTAGCACATACAGACTGGTACAGGCTAACACACATTCCTTTGCTGGTGGAGAATGCCAAATAACATTGATTCTAGGGTCAGTTTCCCAAACACTGGTGGAGAATGGATTCTAGGGCTGGTCTCCCAGACAGTCCATGGCTTAATCTGAAAGGCAAACTCAAAGAATCTCCATTAAAAGTGCTTTTAAGTCCAGGACTAGGCTTAAATCGGTGTCCAGGAAACCACCCCCCTAGTCTCCTAATATAGTCAAAGCTGATCATTGAACTGTCACCTTGGCATTATTTCCATTAAGATATCAAATGTGGTTTCCAGTGTGCCCATTTTAGTGTCATACTTCATCTAGACGCCCAGAATAGAATAAATGGGAAATACATTCTGGATTCTGACATGCTCACTCAAATATATGTACTCAGGATTGTTAATTGGACTTGCTGTCATTTCTTGATTTGATTATTTGAGAGACATTCTACTGCACTGTTGGAGCTAGTAACAAGCATTTCACTGCACCTGCGGATCGGTGTGCACGATCAATTAACTTTGAAATATGTCCTTCACACAAATGTTTACACTAACTGCATTACTGAAATAATTTATTAATACAAAAATAAAATCCAAAACAATAGATATACCCTTCATACAAAAACATTTGCCTTAGACAGCTTCAAAAATAGTGACAAATACAGTTAAGATCCAAAAAGCACAAATAATATTCCCAAACGTTAGTCAAGTCAGTAACTTATGAGTGCAATTTAGTGCTTTATGGGCAAATCTTAACTTCTATTGAAGGCAAATTTCACTGAGTCTCAATGACACCAATACATGACTCAGGGACAATTCAGCTTAAGTGAAAGTTAGAATTCACCTCCTTTGTCCTCTTCATAACTCAGATGCAAATTACAACAAATCTCCACACCCTAAACAAGAGACTGGTCGGTATCATGTACACACAGGGTCCCAAAGTCATGATAAAAGCAAACAATCCTGCCTCCATAATCCCTCGTAGAATTCAGTAACATCAGCTTTATCACATTACTTTCACATTTGCAGCCAGGGAGTATCCTACTACAGGATGTAACAGGCACGTGCTTTCATCCACAGACATTTTTAAAAAAGTTACACATGTCAACTGGTCATTGCTTTATACAGTATAGATAGACCCTGACAGTAACAGAGAAACCATGGTAACAGCCTGATAAAACTCATTTGTTAAAATAAAATAGGAGAATAGCCCAAGTACTTCCTGGTCGTTCTGGGAGGATGACCACATGACAGGGGTGTTTAGGGTCGTGTTCAGTTGGGCACACTGTAGCAAAACGTTTTGCAACGGAAAACTGAAATCTGTTCTTATTGGTACGATTTCAGGTAGTACCTTCTCATTTCAAAACGTTTTCTCCTACTGAACTTGCTCCTGGTGGATGGAGGAAGGGGAGGGGGTAGCAGGGTGTGCATTCAAATGGTAGGCTATTCCCTACATAATGCACTACTTTTGACTAAAGCCCTATGACCCTGGTCAAAAGTAGTGCACTATATAATGAATACAGTGCCATTTGTGACGCAACAAGGGTGTTCAGAGGCGGTTGTAGGAGGTATAGCCACTCTCGTGGACGTGGCAGTACTCCTGTCCCAGCACCGCCCTCTTCTTACACTGCTGTCCCATCCTGGTAGTGCCATTACACAGCTGACGACCAGACACAGAGCTAACGGGACAGGACGATAGGTGGGAGAGAGGAAGAAAATAAATCTGCATGTTTGAGGGGGGTCAGTTTGAGCAAGGTGAGGCGCAGAATAACTAATCTTGATCACATAATGAGTCGTTTTTTCAGATACAAGGTGATTTGTAGATCAGGGATTCTGCACAGCCTGACTGCAATGTAGTCTAAAAACACACCGTCTGTCCCCCTCTTGTGCTGGTCACAATGGTGAAAACTATAGTTGATTGACCTCCAGAACTGGTCCAACTTGTATCAAATACCTTTGATCAAACCCATCTACTAGCTGTACAAAGCTAACAACACAGTAGTAACCATTTGTTCCTCTATAAACATTGTATGGTGTGTGGCATAAAGTGATTTTATATGTCATCATTGGTTGTACTAAAATAATCCAGGCAATAAATGTAATTCTCACAATGCACACAAGTAATCCCTGGTCCCTCTAAACACATCACATAGGTGTTGCATAATAATGTGATCTGATATGACACGTCATCTTTAGTTGTAGCAAGATAAGCCAGGCAGTACAGTTGATATATAAAAGGTAAACTTTTCACAATGCACTCAAGTAATCCCTTGTATTACTTGATTATCCCTTTTAAATTCTATAGTCACACCTATATAAAACTATAACCACACGCACCTATACACATACAGTACAGGTGTGGCATAGCAAAAATGTAATACGATGCGTCATCGTATGGTATACAAACACAGTAAATGTCAAACATTGCATACCGAGTTGTTGCCTGAACCTGCTGAACCGGGTTGGTTAGAACACTAACCTGTTGCTGGCCAGGGATTGGTTGGGGCTGGCGCTCTGTGATTTGCTCAATGCATCCATCATTCCTCCCAGGTTCCTTTGGGGCAGACCTTCCAGGACAGCCTGCCAATCAGAACACAGAATGTCAAGAATAGCCTACCAATCTGAAAACAGTATGTCATAGATGACAGAGCAATCAATCTGTATGTGTAGCTAACCCTAACAACACGTATAACCCTAATGCCTAACCATAACCATTAGGGTTAGCAGTGTGGTTAAGGTTAGGTTTAAATCAGATTTTATGACTGTGCCAGCTACTAACCTATGCCTCTTATGGGGAAAGTAATCTAAAAGTAAATCAGATTATGTTACTGAGTTTGAGTAATCCAAAAATGTGTGATTAGAATTTTGGCCAGGTAACTAGTTACTGATTACATTTAGTAAGTACCTAATCCTACTGGTTTATAACTAACTAGGTCCATCAATGTGTATGACACTAATGCCCTCAATCTCCCTTAAGGACATTAATCTGCTAAATTCATGCTCACCGCAGAGAGACTAGGCCGGCACTTGAACCTGGGAGTAGAGTGGGTCGGTGAGACCATAACAGGCACAAACTTGGCCTCAGCAATATAGTGGGCATGGGAGGGAGACAGTGCTGCTATGCAGGGGTCACCTGGAAATGATTAGAAAATAAATAAGGGAGACAAGAGAAGTGTTTTCCATTAATTTTGAGAGGAATTCTGAAGAGAACAAGGTCCAGTTGTAGTGTGTGTTACACACCAGTCATGAAGCTGTCCTGATCCAGCAGGTCTCCTGGCTCCATGAGACCATCCAGCTCATCTCTGAGTGTAAGGAGAAGAAGACACAGAGGGAGAGAGAAGTATCGGCTACATTATATCAAACTCAGTTCACATAATTAGCAGTAACCACCCTTTACCGTCGAGGGCCACTTTGAAAATAACTATTTTAATTCACGCTTTCCTCTGGTAAATGCACATGTTGTGATGCATGTTTTATTTGCAAATCCAAAATCAAATGTAATTCAATTCTGGAGCTACCCTACTGTCACTCACCTCAGGGGGGTGGAGGAGGACGGGCCGCAGGAGTGAGGGTGGTGGTAGTGGGGGACGTGGTGGCTTTCTGGTTCCAGGGTCTTCTGAGGGGGGAGCAGACTGGGGACCTTCTTTCCTCTCATCTGAGAACACGCCCACAACACCTGCATCGCCAACCAGTAGCCTGAGGAGAGTGTAATGACAACATCACAAGTCCACATCACCCATAAGAGGGCTAATTATTCATATCCCAGTCAGACAGCCAACCAGTCATGAGTGATAGGGTGAGAAAAGCTCATCACACACCCTTCCTTAGTATCCAGTGAGTGGGGCAGCAGCACACACACACACACACACACACCTGCCCGTACCGAGTGAGAGTGTAAGCAGCAGCATGCTCAGACTGGCGAGGTCCAGGGCAGGCTGTTGGTTGACCTCGGCCACAGCGTTGAGCGGGACTGTGAAGAGCAGCATGGCTCGGGAGAAGGACGGACAGCGCAGGAACGTCAGTACCACCGCACACAGCAGGAAGTACCCAGCATGCACCACACACGTCCACACTGCAGCCAGGCTCAGACCTGCAGGACAGGAACACAGGGAGGGAATGTACTGCAAAATGTGTGTACCTGATAGAGGAAGGAAGTAAGTTGAAATGTTCCTTCTCACTGCAATAGAAAATATCTGTTGACCTTTGCAATAAAAATGCATCTGGTGGTCTGAAGGTGTGTATACCTGGTCTGATTCTAAAAAGGTGTCTGTGTATACACACTACTCTACCTGCCAAGCCCAGGTAACCCTGGATAACATGAAGCCTCTCCTCTAGACGACGCTGCATGTTGTCAAGGTAATGCAGCATGGTTCCCAGGGTTCCATTCATGCGTTCCAGTTTTCCCATGAGATCCACATAGTACTGAGCTGTCAGTTTCTGATACTGCAGGAACCCTGACACACTGTGGTCTGAGATCACATTCCCATGGTGACAAGGAGAAAAACAAATGATCTGATCCAAACAATTAAAGATACAGTATTTCAATAATGTTAAATCATTAATAAAAATCATTCTTTATTAATGAGGTGTTATATTGTCAACATCAATGATAAACAATGTCAAATTAACTATAATGATAGTTTATAATATACCAATTACACTATTGTTTGACAATAATTTGTCATTTAAACCTGCAAAAAATATATAATTTGACCTAAATAATTTAAAACAGCGTTTTGGGTATTTTGAAAGCAGGCCCCGAAACCGAAAGTACAATTTTTGACAGCTCCTATTGGTTAGCGTCACCACTCGCCAGAATCATTATTTATGCGACTACGGAAAGTTACAATTTCGGTTAACTGCAGTAAATTATTCAGTCACATTCTCCCTCTTGACCTCAATGAGAGTAGAGAAAGCAGGGGATGTGGAAGCGGCTCTGCTACCGTGGTACAACAAACCAAGAATGCAGGTGTCCCGGTGAGCGTTCCACTGCTCAGGGAGATGGCCAATCAACTAGCCAAAGAATTTGGACACATTGATTAAACCGGTTCGAGCGGGTGGCTTGAAAGGTGGAAGAAGCGCCATTCAATCAAAATCAGATTAGCGGTGCATGGAGAAAATCATGATGCACAAGACTCCAGCGCCGAACATAGAATACTAATATAATCTCTATGGGATCCAGGGTTGCCAGGTCAAGCAAACATTTCTAGAACAATTACCACTCAAAACCCACCCAATAGGCCTTAATTTATTATTATTAGAGCAATTGAGTTGCCATATCTATACAATAAACCCTTTTCCCATAACGTTATCAAGCCAATTAAGGAATATCATAGTAACTTGTAAAGATGTTAGAAGCTAAATTCGAGTTCTCAAAATAAGAATTATTGCAAGCTATGACAAAGGAATTTGAATGTGGCATGAGAAAATAATTCCCCCTTATTAAAGTCGCCAGATAATTTTCCATCAATGGATGTTGATTTAACTTGTTTACTGCTATGATTAAGCAATAAGTCACAAGGGGGTATGGTATATGGCCAATATACCATGGCTAAGGGCTGTTCTTAAGCACGATGCAATGCAGTGCCTGGATACAGTTGTTAGCCATATACCACAAACCCCCGGGTATATGGTCTGATATACCACGGCTTTCAGCCAATCACATTCAGGGCTCGAACCAGGTTTATAACTGTAAATAAATCCCCTTTGTGCATAACTATAGATAAATCTGACAGGCGAGTTTGAGTGATGAAAGTAGGACAGAGGATCTCGAAATCTGAGCAAGAAACACTTGGATGAACATAAAAAAACAGATGTTAAGCTATTTTCTGGCAATTGTACTGTTATTATGTGCCAGATGTTAAGACTACAAACCATTATAAATGGCCCTTTGCGAGATTTGAAATGACAAGTCAATAGACAGGCTACAGACTAAAATCTGGCTTTATTATTCGAATTACATTTTGCCATAGCTTGCTTCGATAAAGGCAGGTAGCCTATAGCCAGATACGCCTACATCTCATTTAATATAGTCTACAGTAGCCTAGACAAGATGTAAACTGAACAATTTAGCAGCTTGCTTAGTTCAAATTAACATACCAATTTATTCATCATGAATAGCGAGGCGACTGCGCAATAAAGTGCTTGTGTTTCCCAACAGCCTGCTGGAATAGGCTACGGAGGATGTGGTCATAATTTCAATCACTGAATAAAATATCAATAATATGTATGCCAACAACAGCCAGTGTTTATTTTTTAGAATTTGTTTTACCTGTAGCCTAATCTGACTGTTACCGTCAATCTAATGCGTTCATAATAACAAGGCTACAACAACAATAAACTGAAGTTATAGGCTATTTATTAAATTGGTTTGCCAGCTCCAGGTAGGCTACACAAGTGGCACAAATTGATTTGCAATGACTACAGTGATATCGTAATTTCAACATATTTATTGAATCAAATGGTAGCCTACAATGGCATATACAGTGGGGAGAACAAGTATTTGATACACTGCCGATTTTTCAGGTTTTCCTACTTACAAAGCATGTAGAAGGTCTGGAATTTTTATCATAGGTACACTTCAACTGTGAGAGACGGAATCTAAAACAAAAATCCATAAAATCACATTGTATGATTTTTAAATAATTAATTTGCATTTTATTGCATGACATAAGTATTTGATCACCTACCAACCAGTAAGAATTCCAGCTCTCACAGACCTGTTAGTTTTTCTTTAAGAAGCCCTCCTGTTCTCCACTCATTACATGTATTAACTGCACCTGTTTGAACTCGTTACCTGTATAAAAGACACCTGTCCACACACTCAATGAAACAGACTCCAACCTCTCCACAATGGCCAAGACCAGAGAGCTGTGTAAGGACATCAGGGATAAAATTGTAGACCTGCACAAGGCTGGGATGGGCTACAGGACAATAGGCAAGCAGCTTGGTGAGAAGGCAACAACTGTTGGCGCAATTATTAGAAAATGGAAGAAGTTCAAGATGACGGTCAATCACCCTCGGTCTGGGGCTCCATGCAAGATCTCACCTCGTGGGGCATCAATGATCATGAGGAAGGTGAGGGATCAGGCCAGAACTACATGGCAGGACCTGGTCAATGACCTGAAGAGAGCTGGGACCCCAGTCTCAAAGAAAACCATTAGTAACACACTACGCCGTCATGCATTAAAATCCTGCAGTGCACGCAAGGTCCCCCTGCTTAAGCCAGCGCATGTCCAGGCCCGTCTGAAGTTTGCCAATGACCATCTGGATGATCCAGAGGAGGAATGGGAGAAGGTCATGTGGTCTGATGAGACAAAAATAGAGCTTTTTGGTCTAAACTCCACTCGCCGTGTTTGGAGGAAGAAGAAGGATGAGTACAACCCCAAGAACACCATCCCAACCGTGAAGCATGGAGGTGGAAACATCATTCTTTGGGGATGCTTTTATGCAAAGGGGACAGGACGACTGCACCGTATTGAGGGGAGGATGGATGGGGCCATGTATCACGAGATCTTGGCAAACAACCTCCTTCCCTCAGTAAGAGCATTGAAGATGGGTCGTGGCTGGTTCTTCCAGCATGACAACGACCCGAAACACACAGCCAGGGCAACTAAGGAGTGGCTCCGTAAGAAGCATCTCAAGGTCCTGGAGTGGCCTAGCCAGTCTCCAGACCTGAACCCAATAGAAAATCTTTGGAGGGAGCTGAAAGTCCGTATTGCCCAGCGACAGCCCCGAAACCTGAAGGATCTGGAGAAGGTCTGTATGGAGGAGTGGGCCAAAATCCCTGCTGCAGTGTGTGCAAACCTGGTCAAGACCTACAGGAAACGTATGATCTCTGTAATTGCAAACAAAGGTTTCTGTACCAAATATTAAGTTCTGCTTTTCTGATGTATCAAATACTTATGTCATGCAATAAAATGCAAATGTATTACTTAAAAATCATACAATGTGATTTTCTGGATTTTTGTTTTAGATTCCGTCTCTCACAGTTGAAGTGTACCTATGATAAAAAATTACACAGACCTCTACATGCTTTGTAAGTAGTAAAACCTGCAAAATCAGCAGTGTATCAAATACTTGTTCTCCCCACTGTACATTAATAGGCTACTTGATTGCCAACTGAGGCAAATGTATAATTCTCCACATTTAGCCTTTCAGTTTCATTGAGGACTTTTCCCCATAAAAAGAACCACGCGAGGGAGTTCCATAACTTCCATTTCCACTCCGGCAGCCCTCGAGACCCAAGAACTGAGCATGAATAAAGCACTTCGCTTGATACAGTTTTCTTTAAGCAGTAAAGATTAGAATGCAGTTTAAACCACCTCCGAGCAGATTTAAGGAATGCGCTCTAGTGCGCTCAGTTGTTTTCCAGTGCTTGGTCTGCATTATTTATTGATGTGCATCAGTTCTAGCGTATTAATGTTTTAAGTAAAAAGGTGTCTCCATAATGACAAATCTAAATAGCCTACCTACAACTGGGAAAACTTGTCACAACGTGCGCGCGTGCTGCTCTCCTCTCGCGACACAGCCAATAAATGTAGTGCTCTCTCAACACACAAACCCCCTCCTCCCCCACCACTCACTCAACAACAGCCTGCCTCAGTCAGCAGCAGGTCACAGTGAAATACATATTTTTTTAAAGAGAAATGCCATGGCGGCCGCGGTGCAACTTAGAAATAGCCCAAAAACCCGCGACCAATAGAGTTTCACCCGCGACATGGTTTTCAAAGTAGCCCAATTTGGCAGGAAAACCGAACATCGCAACACTGATGAGGTGTGTTAACTGGGTTTAAAAATGGGATACATATGCCTAATTTACATACTTCGTTTTAGTGCAATATAATTTACGAGCCCTTTTTATGCCAAAAATGTTATTGCTGTCACAAGATAAACTCTGTAGCCTTTTTTTGCCAAAGCTCAAACTTAAGGTATTTTACAAATTAATAAAATTGTCCTAAAAGACAAAAAACGAAGATACTGCATCTTGCCATGCATCTCAAGCTGTCAAAAAAAATTAATTAAATCAATAAGTAGCATTTGCAACAAAATACAGATCATTCATTGTATTTATCCAGAATCAGTAGCTTTATCCCAAATTACAAGTTAGTGTGATGAACATATACATGTTGCTTCTTACCTATTTTGCTATAGATGTCCTTTGTGCGCCCACTGACCTCAGCGAGGTCATCCAGAATGGCCTTGTGACCCTCCTGCACCTCTGAACCTTGACCCTTTAGCTGCTCAGTGACCTTCTCTAGAAGTGAGGCGGGGGACATGAAGTGAACATGATCTCACACAAGCAATTTTGTAAAGAGTCAGTGAGTTGTACAGAGCAAAAACAGACCACATACGGTGTTGAGAAAGAGAGCATCTTCACATAAGAGCATGTGAGAGAGAAAGTGCTAGGAGTGAACAAGAGTATTATCACAGATAGAACAATGAGACCGATATTTCACCGGATGTATAAAATGTGAAGCATCCGCTTGGCTTTTCCACTCACTACCAAATATGGTAGTGAGATGAAGCGCCCCCTGGCCGGCAGTGGGAGATGATGGAACAAAGATGGATTTTGGCCTACATTCTGCACATTTTCTCATTGATGAAACATTTGATCTCAATACAGTTCTGTTCACAAAACTACGTTTTGTAGACTTTACGCTTTGCACAAGTTATTTTTTTTTATCACATTGTTTAGCAGGAGTGCAAAGGCAAATTGAGTTATTGCACACACGCACTTCACAGAGTAGGCATTCCCTAACGGAAATATGCTAGAACGCGCCAATAGCATCTCGCTAGCTTGTGCTTGTTCTGCCCACTATGACTCATTTGTTCCCATTGGAAACGACAGGCTGTGGTCTATCTTGGTTTAGGTTATAAAAATTGTTGGTATTATAGTGGATTAAGGCTGTGAAATAGAGAACAACAAACAGTGTGTGTGTTTGTGCATGCATCTCCTCCTACCCATCCTGTGTGTGATTCCGTGGATGAGCTGGGCCACCAGTTCCTGTCCGGAGGCAATGAGGGCCTTCTCCTGGCCCAGACGCTCCAGGTTAGAGGAGAGAGAGGTCTCCAGCTGCTCCTGGCCCACCCACAGTGCCCCCTGCTGGGCCTCCAGGGCACTGTGACCCTCCAGCAGCCTCTCCAGGGACGCCGAAGTCAGCTCCTTCAGCTCCAGCTGACCTTCCTGTGGTAGAACAAAGCAGAGACACTCAAGTCCACATATTATGACAGACAACGGAGAAAGAAAAACGGACATTACTGGAGGTCTCTCCCTTTGAATAGAAGGGGGAAAAAAGTGAGAGCAAGAAGGGGGGGACAGAGAACGAGGGAAGAGATTGACAAAAAGACAACTGACCTTCAGGTCCTTCATGGCGTCCAGTTGGCTGGTTGCCGTAGAGATTAGCGCGTTGACGGTGAGCTCGGACTGGCGGCGGAAGTGCTGCTGACGGGTGGCGTAACACACGGAGCGTGCCCGGTTGCTCACTATGTGGTAAGCATTCCACGTGTCCGAGTCCATGTCTGCTGTGCACTGCTTTAGGGACTGGCAGGAGAAGAGGGTTAACATACTGTCCAGACACTATGAAATCAGCTTCAGCGCTGTGCATGCAAACTGGGTCGAGCTTAGGCACATAATGAAACAGAACCGAGTGAAGCAGGAGGCACTACTTGAAGTTGTCCAATAACAAATACTGGTTTCCCACTGCAAATCATTTTAAAACAATTTGCTGCTGTATGCCCTAATGAAAATGACCCAGATTCACAGACTGGGAAGAGGACTGAGAGCCTTCCAATATGAAAATATGGCACCCACTAACAATTCTGCCTTCAACCCACCAAGTCCTCTAACGTCAGTGATTAGGAGAGACAACTGTATTAACATTCTAATATATAAAACAACCAACTCCCAAAACAATTGACTACATTTTTTTGTTTCTAGATATCTCTTAGCGGGAGAAAAAAAGTATACATCTTGGAGCGTACCATGTCCTCAGTGCAGGGGTACGTCCTACGCCCCTCCACCTCTGCCTGGCAGTTGAACAGGACAACGCCCAGTTTGGCCAGCTGCTCCTCTGATAGGCTAGCGCAGGTCGACTTCAGCTGGGCAACCACCTGGAGGGACAGGGACAGACCTTTTCTATTGGCTGATGATAGAGGATGATCAATATGAAGTCAGAGCATGTTTTAAAGAAATGCATTCAACTGATGAGTGGATAAGCCCTGCATCTTCTGAGGTGCTCTGATGCCCATGAACAGGCCTATAAACTATTATACATCAGTGTCACTGCCTGGTGAAATAAATAGTTGTTAGGTGGACACATAGCCCAAGCTTTCTTTGGGTAAGAATAACAGTAGGATGCATCATCATGCATGACTGCTCAGCCAAGGCTTCATAGACCATATTCATATGGTTGAAACACAGATTCTGTTATCTAAGCGAGAAGACCTGACTAATGTGTGTAGAAGTAGAGAATAATACTGTCCATCACATTACCCGGTAATGACAGCTGTCCAATGGGCTGAGCTCCATATTTTTTGCCTCTGCTAGGAACTTTTCATCGGCTATGGTCATCTCGAACGGCTGGGCATCTCCCCCGGGTAGTCCAGGGACCAGTGAAGGGGCGAGGGCTGGAGCCCCTGGCTGCGTCGGCTTCAACCAGTCAAAGAAACCGTTCACAGGGACCACACCGGGAGGCCAGCACACAGACCAGCAGTATAAGGCCAAGCTGACTGGTCATCACCGGCTGAGCCATCTGAGTACTGGAGAAAGTAGGCTACACAGGGAGGACATGTACACATGAAGTTTGAATGGATAGGATCAACTTTATTGTCCAAGGGGAAAATGCAGTGTAAGTGACCGACAAGTTGAGCAATGGAACCGGTTGGGTAAAACACGCTCGGTTGATGAGTAACCTGGTCTGACAGCTGAATACTTACATTAACTCCCCATTAAAATGCCTAGGCTTTAGCTCAGCGAGCAAACAGCGTAGACAACCGGGGATCAAAGCCCACTCCTTTTTATTATGAGTGGCATTAAGGGAATATTTTGTTATTCAATTCATAACGGACTGACTTCGACTCAAACAAAAGGAAATGTCAGATGCAGCGCCCTCTCGGAGCCTGCACTGCACAGCTGACAGGCGGTGTGGCCGGACATGCAGACTCAAGGTGTTGATTGCAGATGGTAAAATATTTTTGAAATAATTGAATTGAACTAAACAGGCGATCAGACCGTGTGCATGCTTTATTTTCTTTAAAAAAAAGTTGGAATCGAATGAAAAGAAACCATTTACATTTAAAAAATAAAACATTGAAGCAAAGCTAAATCGTAATGACATTAGCCTACCAAATTCAAAAGTTGTGACATAATGCCAAATTACCTCAAAATATCTTTGTACCACTGTTGTTTCGTCGGAGTTTTGCTGGTACAATCCTTCGTTGATTGTAATGAGCCAAACCCAGCTGATATGAATGAGAACCCTTTAATTTCTCACATCCACATTCATCTATTTTAAATAGTACAGGAAACAGCCAATCGGATCAGCGTCTTTCTGGATCTCGCGAGATACACAACAAGGAACAGGCTTGACTTCTTGTTTGATCATTGGCCAATTGCCCCTTTGAGTTTCGGCAGATTCGTAGATCTTTCTATCATATGTGTCCTTTATGCTACATATACCTGAAGTTGAGATGATATACAGATCAGATCATGTGCAGCAACTTGCTCAGACAGGAAGACTCGTGAGTCAGCTGAGCTCAAAGCCACTACACAATCCCTGGATTTGATTGAAGGTAACAATAACTAGGCAACTGTATAATACATATATATATCTCAAATTAAGTGAAGTCAATTTGAATCATATGCTAGCTAGCTAGTTAAACTGTTGAGCTGTAGTAGCTAGCAGCTCGATGTAGTTGTGGTTCTAGTACTAGTTATAAAAGCACACGTGTGTGAGCCCAAAGATTTGTGTCAGTACTATCAGAAGTGACTGGGAGCCAAACCCAAGACCCCTGTTTCTGTCAGTCCAACACCTAGTTAGCAATTCAATTCAAAGAGGCTTTATTGGTATGGGAAACGTGTTTACATTGCCAAAGCGAGTGAAATAAACAATAAACAAAAGTGAGAAGACACAAAACAACATCAACAAAAAACGATTAGAGTTTAACAGTAATTATAAACTGGGTGGTTCGAGCCCTGAATGCTGATTGGTTGAAAGCCGTGGTATATCAGACCGTATACCACAGTATGACAAATATTTTTGTACTGTTCTAATTATGTTGGTAACCAGTTTATAATAGCAATAAGGCACCTCTGGGGTGTGTGGTATATGGCCAATATACCACGGCTAAGGGCTGTATCCAGACATTCCGCCTGTATTCCGAATGTATGCACTCACTAACTGTAAGTCGCTCTGGATAAGAGCGTCTGCTAAAATGACTTTAAAAATTGCGTCTTGCCTAAGAGCAGCCCTTAGCCATGGTATATTGGCCATATACCGCACACCATCGTGCCTTATTGCTTAAATATTGCACATATTGACCAATAGGTGTTTATCAATTATTATTTTTACGTTTTATTGAAATGTTTAATAAGATAATGGGTTTATGGCGTATATGAGGGCTTTTATTATGAAGGCTGAAACCGGAAGTTAATTTGTTATTGTTCCGGCAGTAAAGTGTTTCCACTAGTTATCACAGTCACAAAGTCAAAATTGCCTATCTTTAATATTTATGAAAACAAAAATGTGCTTTTTGGTCTTAATTTAAGGCATAAGGTTATCAGTGTGGTTAAGGTTAGGGTTAGATTTAAAATCAGATTTTAAGAAGATACATTGTAAAAATAGGCGGGGTTTATGACTTTGTGGCGTTGGTAACTAGTGACGACCGCAGCAAAGCATAGGTGGAATGTGTATAATCCGATCGAGATCCATTCGGAATATTCGGACAGATCAATATTATACTTTGATCGCTATATATCGCAACCTAAAAAAAAACCTACCAGTTAAAAATGTCTGCCATGAAAAAATACTTCTGGGACTCGGAGGAGACTGAATATATGTTAAAAGTTTTAAGGGAGCTGGACATAGCGAAGCACTTGGACGGTCGGAAGGTTCGAAACCTGAAGTTGTTCAAGGTAGCAGAGAAGAGAATGAAACAGGCCGGGTATCACAGATCAATTGACCAGATAAGGCACCGATGGAAAGTTCTCAAGACATCGTATTATAGCTGGAATAACAACCAGCAAACAGTGAAACTTACTCGTTTCCCACAATATGCAACCACGATGCAATCAATAATGGATGAATCTGAAACATGGAACCGCTCGCATGACACCAACCGCGGCCCTGTTCGTATTCGGAATAGGCCTAAGCCTACAGTGCATGAGGAAGAGACTGAAGATTCCGAAGAAGAAGTAGTAACTGCTGCTCAGTCGTTGCATGATAATTCTACTGTGGATGTCATTGTAGGCAATGCGCTCATTTGATTTCTTACCATTGCCCAGACGTCAAGCCCATGATTATGTTGTCTGTGCCCTGGCACTGTATTCCCTATACAGTGCACTACTTTTGACCAGAACCCTAAGGGAAAGGGGATACCTAGTCAGTTGCACAACAGAATGCATTCAACCGAAATGTGTCCTCTGCTTTTAACCCAACCCCTCTGAATCAGAGAGGTGTTGGGGCTGCCTTAATCGACGTCATCGGCACCCGGGGAGCAGTTGTTGTGGGGGTTAACTGCCTTGGCAGATTTTTCCACCTTGCCGCTCAGGCATTCGAACAAGCAACCTTACTGTCCCAACACTCTAACTGCTAGGCTACCTGCCGCCCCACTATGAGCCCATGTCAAAAGTAGTACACTTTATAGGGTGCCATTTGAGACGCTAGTGATGATGTCATTATAATCATTGGTGCCCCTGTTATGGTTCATAAAACTAGTGATTTATCTTTGCCCCCCATGCAGATCAAGACAGACCCAGACCCAGAGACGCCTCCTGAGATGGACTCCAACCTGAGAATCGGCTTCATCGGGGCAGGCAACATGGCCTACGGGATAGCCAAGGGAGTCCTGCAGTCTGGTAGGTCAACAGGGAGAATATAGTGTGTGTGTGTGTCTTCTTCAGGGCATGTAACATGGCCTACGGGATAGCCAAGGGAGTCCTGTAGTCTGGTCAGTGAGCCAACAGTCAGAAGAATCTAGTGTGTGATCTAGTGTGTGTGTGTCAGGGTTGGGGTCAATTCGAATTGAAGTCGGTCAATTCAGGAAGTGATTTGAATATAAAATCCCAAACTGAAAAAACGTCTTGCATAAATAGCTTCTCCTTTTCAGTTGATTGAGAAGTCATTGAAAGTAGATGCCCTTTTTTGCAAATATTGAATTGGAATTTCAGTTTACTTCCTGAATTGACTGCCTTCAATTAGAATTGCCTGCCTTCAATTCGAATTGACCCCAACTCTGGGGTGTGTGTGTGTGTGTGACTCTTGACTTGCCTAAAAAAACTTGCAGAATGTTTAATTGCAGGAGATGTCCCTCCCACCAACGTTAAAGTGAGCGCACCCTCCACAAGGAACTTTGGTCGCTTTCAGGTACACATTCCTCTTCTTTCCACACCCACTTATTTTCTCCACCCCCGTCAGTCGATATCATCACTGTATTTACATTGATGAATCGATTGCTCTACAAATTTGTGTGTGTGTTATGCACAGTGCACAGAGCTACCATTCACCTCTGTTTTCATTTTATTTCAGGAGTTGGGGGTGGCTGTCACCCACTCCAATGCAGAGCTGGTCAGTAGCTGTGACATGGTGTTTGTGGCGGTCAAACCACACCTCGTTGCAACCGTTCTCAGTGAGATTACAGACCACGTCACCCGGAAACACATCATTGTCTCCGTGGCAGCAGGTGTAACCTTGGCAACGCTTCAGGGGGTGAGTCCTGAGGAGAGGGTTGGGTTTTTAAACTATTGCTTAGTAACCTGAGTAACTTGAGTTGCTTGATTGGTTGATCAGATATCTGATAGACATGCCTGTAGTATATCTGGCGATTTTTTTTCTTTGCAGACAAACAAAAGGCAAGAACATTTCGAGCAATAAAGCAAAATACCATAATTGTGTGTTTCGTTCTCTGTCACATGCCCTCTCTCTTCTTCTTCCTCCTTCCCTCCATCCATCCTAACACCGCTGTTCCTCTCGCTCTCCCTCTCTCATGTCTTCCCCCCCCTCTCCTCCAGCTCCTGCCATTTGATGCGGTGGTTTTGAGACTGATGCCCAACCTTCCCTGTCTGGTCCAGCAAGGGGCACTGTTGTTCTCGCGGGGGACGCGGGCTCGGCAGGAGGACGGGGATCTGCTCCGCTCGCTGCTTCAGCATTGTGGCCTGGTGGAGGAGGGGCCCGAGGCCTGGATAGATATCCACACTGGGCTCAGCGGCAGTGGGGTGGCCTTTGTGAGTGGGAGGGGAGGGATGGCCTAATCCAAGGGTATTCAACTCTTACCCTACAGGTTCCGGAGCCTGCTGGTTTTCTGTTCTACCTGATAATTAATTGCACACACCTGGTGTCCTAGGTCTAAGTCAGTCCCTGATTGGAGGGCAACAATGAAAAAATGCAGTGGAACTGGCTTCGATGTCCAGAGTTGAGTTTGAAGGGCCTAATCTATTGAATTTCCACTCATTGTAAGTCGCTATGGATAAGAGTGTCTGCTAAATGACTAAAATGTAAATGTAAAATGGATGGAGGGAAGGTAGGAATAGAGGGGTGGGAGAGGGATGGAGGTAAAGAAAGGAAGAAGGGATAGAGGGATGGAGAAGACAAGACTGAAAGGGGTAACGTTCTGGTCATAACAGAGTCCTTGGCCCTGCAGGTGTATCTGTTTGCAGAGGCGCTGGCTGAGGGAGCAGTGAAGATGGGCATGCCCAGTGCTCTGGCCCATAGCATCGCTGCTCAGACTGTATTGGTGAGTTTCTGGGTTTCATAAAGCAGCCCTCATTTGTATTATATTAGCACAGGTACTTCTGTGTCTCTGTTCATGTATAATGTTCCTTTCTTTTCCAGGGGGCAGGCCAGTTGTTGAGGGACTCAGGGAAGCATCCAGCCCAACTGCGTTCGGAGGTGTGTACACCAGGAGGCACGACTATCTTTGGGCTTCATGCCATGGAGCAGGGGGGTGTGAGGGCCGCCACCATGACTGCTGTGGAGACTGCTACTGAGAGGGCCAGGGAGCTGGGCAGGAAGTCGGCGCCCACGGCCACAGAAAATAGGAAGTGAGGTCGTTTTGGCCCATAGTAACTGATTCAAGAAATTAGGATGTTTTGGTTGCTCTCTGCTCAATGCCCACAGCAACCACTTCAGTCTTCAACTTTAATGTTACTGTTGGAGCTTAATCTAACTACAAATCTGACTGCAGGAATTGTTCAAGGGCACAAAGAAGAATACAGCAAGAAGAGTCAAATCAGCGCTAATCCAGTTATCTTCATAATTTATCAATGTTCATTTGAATTATTAAAGGGAATTCATTGGTATTTTCCATTTTTGTTATTAAAATAATGTTATACCTATCTGCCCTAAACTGATGCCTTTGAACAAGATAGGAAGCAAGGGCACTGGAGGACTGGAAGTTGTGACTGAGTTTTGAAAACCTGCTGTACTATCATTAAGGGTTGGGGTAAATACCATTTCTATTCAGTCAATAGAAATATAATTGACCCAAACCTTCATTCATTGGTTGTGATCAGGAGGACTGTGATGAGGTTGAAGATGGGAGATATGTTACGTTTAGGGACTCGACCCATGGTTCCTAATCAATCAAAATGTATCCCTGTATGAATGTCAGGATGCCAAGATGACAAACAAGGAAATATCTGTATGGTGCTAAGCAGAGAGAAAATCTATAGTATAAACCAAAATACATGTTACTAAAAACAAGGATTTACTAGGAACCATAGATGTCTTTTGTTTGATTAAATATTTTAAATGTGTGCTGAAGGATTAAATGAGTTATACCTTAACTAAGTTTAAAATTTAGGTACTGGACATTCGCACTATCTTAATTCAGAGGGTCCTTAATTCAGGGAGCCTGCACATAGTATGATATTGCAAATTACTTAAAATGTATTTGAGTGATACAGTACTTTAATGGACTAAAAGTTTGTTTCCATGCTACTAAAGTGTAGCCTATCAAGTTAAATATGTTACATACAATACACCTTCCTTAGTTTTTCTGCATTTGTTATTTATTTAATTTGAAGACTATCCGAATAATTTTTTATTCCAGACAAATATTGAACAAAAAAATCAGTGTGAAAGTCTCTGAAATCAAGTTGCAAACAGTGACCCCTGCTGGCTGAAGAAATTACGTTTTATTAATCAGTTCCTTATTCTGTCATGAGCAAGCGGAGTGCGTGTTGAATTGGAGTATACCAATCCTGGAGAAAAACTGATTGGACAAATGATGAATAAAAGCTCAATTATGACACACACCGTTCCAGACTTTCATAATATTATAATCCTAAAATAATATTTTCAGTAGGATAATTTGTAAATCAACCGTGCAAAAACCCGGCGTTTAAAAGAACAGGGCCCTTTCCCGTGGTCCCCCCCACACCTTCGGTGGACGCCTATTCTATTTTCCCACTCTGCCCCCTTTCTGTTCTAGGCTCCTAGCTGAACAAGCACACGAGGAACACCGGACCCGTTAACCACCGAAATACAGAATAGTAAGTAACTGACCGCTCGCTTTTCCAGCCGGGGAATGAACATGGTAGTCGCTAGTCAAATTGTTTGGTGTGAGGGAGAGCTAATGTGAACAGTTAACGTTAAGAAGAGAGAAATGTCCGACAACAATGACAGCCCAAGCCGGGGCCGACCGGCTAAATATGAATATCAACAGAAGCTGAGATATTCAGGAAAAATAAAGAGAATTCATTGCTAATGGATCTAGACGGTTGGCTAAAATGTTTTAGTTTACAAAGGCTTCAATTTGGCAGTGACACCACCTACCTCGATGTCTTGAGAGTGACGGAAGATGTCTCAACGACAGAGCGAGCCGGTGACGTTAAATTGTTACATTATAACATGGCCATCAAAGGAATAACACCGCTGTTGATAATGTGTTTCTTATCACTGTCTTAAATGACAACCTCAAAATTATGCCTCTGACCCCTTGTTATATGCTCTTAAGAATTGGAGAAGCGGGTAGCCTATTACATTAGTCCTTCTTTGTCATACGTCTAGTAAAATGTGGCTTTGGTTATTGATTATTAATTGAATGACACAAAAATATAAACGTTTTGGTTGCAATGACGCAGTCTTAAAATAGTCCCCCACCCCCACGGCCCCAATCCGAATGTGCCACGAAGAACCCAAGGCACGTTTAGCCAATTATTGACGCTGTCACACTTTGTATGTAGGCCTACTGTACACTCCTATGTTGTAGCCTTTTCCCAAAGGTGTTGATTTTCCGGTAGGTCAGGAATGCAGTATTATAATGTTTTGTTTGTTCATGGCTCGCGGCTGAATGAATGAAAAGAACGTGTTGCGCATTCTAATCACGAAAGTTGTTTGGTCTCACACTCTCACCAAGGAAGGTGAGTTACATATATATTTTTATATCTAGGCCAACTATAGGGTGTTTTACACACCTATCATGCAGGAAATCATTTTCTTAACAGCCAACTATCAAGATGTGAATAATTCTAACAATCAAAATAATCTCAAATATATATTTTAATAGGATTTAAAGCACATGGCTCAGCAATAGTAGCCTACAGCCAAGTTGTTTTTATTAGTAGTACTAAAAAACGATTGGGGGAAAAAACACATCTAGATGGTTATAAGGAAATGTATTTCCTGTTTCACAATGTTATGCTATGGTATGAATCACCAATTATGCATGATTTGCTTGCCATCAAAACCACAGCTTCATCCTGGACTGCTAATGACTCAGAAGTCTTTGCTGTGGCAGGTTATGTTGTGTAATCTACTGTATAGAATCTAGAATTCTATTTCTATGATGTATACACAGAACATACAGGATTCGTCCCAAATTGCACCCTATTCCCTTTATAGTAGACTACTTTTGACCAGAGCCCTAAAGGACTATAAACGGAATAGCGTGCCACTTGGGACGCTCAACATTGAGGTTGGTCCTACCTGCATTAGTTCTGATTGAGCATTCCAGGACTGTTACTGTTATCACGACACGCCATTCATTCAACAACGCCCCTCAGTAACTTTGCTGAGTGATCATATTTTATTTAATGCCCTTTTAAGGTTATGGAGCAACTTTTTCAGTTTGCATGCAGAATATGCATACTTTGATATACACTACTGTTCAAAAGTTTGGGGTCACTTACAAATGTCCTTGTTTTTGAAAGAAAAGTAAACATTTTTGTCCATTAAAATAAAAAGCCATATCTCAGACTGCCCATCTTCATCTTATCTTTTTATTGGCCAGTCTGAGATATGGCTTTTTCTTTGCAACTCTGCCTAGAAAGTCAGCATCCCGGAGTCGCCTCTTCACTGTTGACGTTGAGACTGGTGTTTTGCGGGTACTATTTAATGAAGCTGCCAGTTGAGGACCTGTGAGGCGTCTGTTTCTCAAACTAGACACTAATGTATTTGTCCTCTTGCTCAGTTGTGCACCGGGGCCTCCCACTCCTCTTTCCATTCTGGTTAGAGCCAATTTGCGCTGTTCTGTGAAGGGAGTAGTACACAGCATTGTACGAGATCTTCAGTTTCTTGGCAATTTCTCGCATGGAATAGCCTTCATTTCTCAGAACAAGAATAGACTGACGAGTTTCAGAAGAAAGTTATTTGTTTCTAGCCATTTTGAGCCTGTAATCGAACCCACAATTGCTGATGCTCCAGATACTCAACTAGTCCCAAGAAGGCCAGTTTTATTGCTTCTTTAATCAGCACAACAGTTTTCAGCTGTGCTAACATAATTGCAAAATGGTTTTCTAATGATCAATTAGCCTTTTAAAATGATAAACTTGGATTAGCAAACACAATGTGCCATTGGAACACAGGCCTGATGGTTGCTGATAATGGACCTCTGTAAGCCTATGTAGATATTCCATTAAAAATCAGCCGTTTCCAGCTACAATAGCCATTTACAACATTAACAATGTCTACACTGTATTTCTGATCAATTCAATGTTATTTTAATGGACTAAAAAATTGTAAGTGACCCCAAACTTTTGAACGGTAGTAAATGCTGTCATTATTGGCATTTGCTTATGATTGTCCTTGTGATTGTCTTGAATACGTTTTCATTAGCGTAGTTCTTTAGTTGGCCATGATGGCATCTATTGGTTGCCATATAAAGACTATATAAGTGGACCTGAATAGAGGCCGTTTGTCCAGAGACATCTACTATGGGCTACCGTCCGAAGTATGAGAATCCCAAGAACTCCAGAATATAACATTGGACATGAGGGGTTGTGTTCAGAAGGCATGAAATATGAGTAAAACTTGTGAAATGGAGGCACTAGCCTATACTACTTGGTGAACACTGAAGATGTTTTCTCCTGTTTGTGCTCTTCGAACACAACCGGTGAAGTGGACATCATCCATCGTTCAGTTCATCATTCATCCGCCGTTGGTCTGCTGGATCTGGCTCTTTGTCCGTTCTTTTCCTTTCTCTTCCTTTCCTGCATGCCTCAATGCATTCTGGGATTGATCCATTGAATTCTCTTAGCTCAGTTTAACGTACAAAGTAAAAATGGCAGAGTCCAATGGATCAATTTCTCTCTCTCTAAACTTCTCTCCTCTGTGTAACTAACCCTCTAGCCTGTCCCTGTCACTCTGTCTCTCTCTTTCTCTGCTTCGGATCAAAGATGATGCCTCAGCGGAACCCCCCGTGTTCAGCAATGGATCAGTCTGATCCTGATCTCCCTCCCAGCCGCTGCCAGGTGGACTGTACCAATGAGGTGGCAGTAGAGGGGGGCCAGAGGAATGGGGGTGGTGTCGCTTTGTCCTCCCCAGAGAGCAGCAGCGTGAACGGAGACGGCAACCGGAAGCGTAGTGGTAAGAGCCGTCGCCGTCGGAAACGCTCCACTCAACCTGACAACCGCCCAGCATCCGTTGCCGTGGAGATGCATCCGCCTCCACCACCTGGCCAGGGGGACGGTAGCCATGCCCCTGTCCCTGACACCCCCAGCACGGTCCTGCTCGGCATGCGGTCTGAGTGTGGATCTGTGTGGTTTGACCGCAGTGTGTATGAGCAGGCTGAGAGTCTGTATCACTGCTGGTTGACACGCTCTGCCAACTGGGCGAAGACACGGCCCAGCAGCTCACCCTCGCCCCCTGCCCTGGCTGCTGACAACCACCCCACCTCCCCTCCACCCTCACCCCCTGCCCCGAGCCACCCCACCACCCTTCCAGCCATAGTAGCTGAAGAGCATTGGGTTGTTGCAGAGCCCCTGCAGCCAGCAGCCTCAGACTTCCTGGCCCTGCCCGCCAACAGCGCCGCCACACCAGACGAGGGTTACCTGTCCCTGGCCCATACCCCGCCGGCGGCCTCTCCACTGACCTCGGCCCAGGCCCCTGGCCAGCTGGTGAACGGGCTGCCCCGTCTCCCCATGGAGCTGCTGAGGGGCGTGTGGCTGGAGAAGCATCTCTACGACCTGGCCGAGGCCGCCTTCTACCAGAGCCTCTGCGGCAACAACCGCTCTCCCAACAGCAACAACCTGGTTGGTGGAGCCTCCACCTCACGTACCAACCCTAACGCTCCCTCAACCTCAAGGGGTAGTGGAGACCACCCACAGAGTCTTATGGAAGAGGAGGAAGTGTTAGAAGAAGCAGCCATGGTCTCACAGGGGAAGGACGAAGTCTTCCACTCTCTGCGCACCATTCAGGAGGAGGAGGAACCTGCTGACATCACAGAGGAGGAAGGTGTGGCCATGTACTTCCTGCATCCAGACAGTGAGAGGGTGTGGCTAGACCGGGGAGGCTACGAGGATGCAGAGAGACGTTTCTACGGTTATCACCAGAATGTACCTGTGGAGTCAACAGTAGCCAACAGAGAGGAGAGGGCTCTTGGGGAAGAAGATACTGCGGCGTCAGCAACGTCATCGCCAGCATCACCGGTCACATGCAACGGCCCTCTGAGGGAGAAGTATGACCCATCCCAGGAGTCTGGACCTCCACAAAAAAAACCAGCTTCATTTGACTCTTTCTCCTTTTCATTGCCGTTTTCTTTCTTGAATTGGTTCATTTGTTTTATTTCTTTACTTGTTTTCTGTGTTTTTGTTTGCTCATTTGTCTCTGTTTTTTATTTGCTTTACCCTTTTCATTTGTGTTTTCTTGCATGATTATTTATTTTACTCAATGTTGGTGGTCTTCAAAGATTTGTCCCAGGGGCGCAACTTTGGTTTTAGAAGGGGGGGGTGGTGGACATAACCTGGCGGGGGTCCTCCCTCAGAATGTTTTGGCCATTCTAATGCTCATTTCATGCTTTTCTACACAATCTAATACGACCCTTTTGGGGTCATTTTGTGGTCACTTTTATTATAAATAAGAATAGAATATGTTTCTAAACACTTCTACATGAATAAATTGTGAATAATGATGAGTGAGAAAGTTATAGAAACACATATCATACCCCCCCCAAAAATGCTAACCTCCCCTGTTATTGTAATGGTGAGGAGTTAGCCTGTCTTGGGGGTATGATATTTGTGCATCTAACTTTCTCACACGTCATTATTCACGATTCATTCAGGATTATACGTAATCATGGTAGCATCCACATTAATGTAGAAGTGCTTAAAAACATTATGTTCTTATTTACAATAAAAGTGACTCCAAAATGACACAATACATTATTTACAATTTCATTTCTATTGGGCACAAAATCATCTGAAACACAACCAAAACAAACAGCAAATGCATCCAACACATTTTGTAGAGTCACAAGCTTCATGTAGTCATTGAGTGCTATGAATGTGGGACCAAATACATAACTTTTTACAACTTTCTAATACACATAAGTGAAATTGTCCCAATACTTTTGCTCCCCTAAAATGGGTGGGGGGTGGGAGACTATGTACAAAAAGTGTTGTAATTTCTAAACAGTTCCCCCGATATGGATGCAAATACCCTCAAATAAAAGCTGACAGTCTGCACTTTAAGTTGGTAGTCATTGTTTGATTTCAAATCCAAAACTTTGGAGTATAGAGGCAAAATAAGAAAAAATGCTTCACTGTCCCAATAATTACGGAGGGCACTGTAATTCATACCATATGCCTAAAAGTACTGTAGAGCTCCTTTTGTCGTACAGTATTCCATATAAGGCATCCAGACCTTATTAAAGTTGCACAGTATACCCTTAATCTTGTAATAAATCAAATGTAGTGATACAAAATCTCATTTCTGCCATCCATTGTGACATTTTGGGAGGATAACCAACCTTCCAATTAATGGCAATGCATTTCTAAGCCACTATAAATGCTAGGTTACATTTTCTTCTGATAAGTCTCCATTATCAACGTTTCCAAGCAAACAAAAACAGGGAGAAGGGTGGTCTTAAACTGCAGTAATTTATGTCTGAGATTACATTGCATTCAGAAAGTATTCAAACCCCTTGGTTTTTTTACCACATTTTGTTACATTGCAGCCTTATTCTAAAATGGATTACATTGATTTGTTCATCAATCTACACACAATACCCCATAATGACAAAGCAAAAACAGCTTTTTAGAAATGTTTGCAAATGTATTAAAAATAAAGACGGAAATATTACATTTACATAAGTATTCAGACCCTTTACTCAGCACCGTTTGGCAGCGATTACAGCCTCGAGTCTTCTTGGGTATGACGCTACAAGCGTGGCACACCTGTATTTGGGGCGTTTCTCCCATTCTTCTCTGCAGATCCTCTCATGCTCTTGTCAGATTGGATGGGGAGCGTCACTGCACAGCTATTTTCAGGTCTCTCTAGAGATGTTCGATTGGGTTCAAGTCCAGGGCTCTGGCTGGGCCACTCAAGGACATTTAGAGAATTGTCCCAAAGCCACTCCTGCGTTGTCTTGGCTGTGCGCTTAGGGTCATTGTCCTGTTGGAAGGTGAACCTTCGCCCCAGTTTGAGGTCCTGAGCGCTCTGGAGCAGGTTTTCATCAAGGATCTCTCTGTACTTTGCTCCGTTCATCTTTCCCTCGATCCTGACTAGTCTCCCAGTACCTGCCGCTGAAAAACATCCTCACACCATGATGCTACCACCACCATGCTTCACCGTAGGGATGGTGACATGACGCTTGGCATTCAGGCCAAAGAGTTCAATCTTGGTTTCATCAGACCAGAGAATCTTTCACATGATCTGAAAGTCTTTAGGTGCCTTTTGGCAAACTCCAAGCGGGCTGTCGTGCCTTTGTGGAGTGGCTTCCGTCTGGCCACTCTACCATAAATGCCTGATTGGTGGAGTGCTGCAGAGATGGTTGTCTTTCTGGAAAGTTCTCCCATCTCCACAGAGGAACTCTGAAGCTCTGTCAGAGTGACCATCGGGTTCTTGGTCACCTCCCTGACCAAGGCCCTTCTCCCCCGATTGCTCAGTTTGGCCGGGCGGCCAGCTCTAGGAACAGTCTTGGTGGATCCAAAGTTCTTCCATTTAAGAATGATGGAGGGAGGCCACTGTGTTCTTGGGGATCTTCAATGCCGCAGAACGTTTTTGGTACCCTTCCCCAGATCTGTGCCTCGACACAATCCTGTCTCGGAGCTCTACGGACAATTCCTTCGAACTCATGGCTTGTTTTTTGCTCTGACATTCACTGTCAACTGTGGGACCTTATGTAGACGTGTGTGCCTTTTCCAAATCATGTCAAATTAATTGAATTTACCACAGGTGGACTAGAAACATCTCAAGGATGATCAATTGAAACCGGATTCACCTGAGCTCAATTTCGAGTCTCATAGCAAAGTGTCTGAATACTTATGTAAATAAGGTAATTCAGTGTTTTATATTTGCCAACATTTCTAAACCTGTTTTCGCTTTGTCATTATGGGGTATTGTGTGTAGTTAGATAAAAATAAAAATCCATTTTAGAGTAAGGCTGTAATGTAACAAAGTGGAAAAAGTCAAGGTGTCTGAATACTTTCCGAATACGCTGTATGTGAACATGACTGGGCATTTTAAACGTATCTGTATCAATTCATCAGTAGTGTCTCCCAGGTCTTCCTCACATTTTTGTTTTACATGTTTTGTCATCGGGAAAACATTTTACATTTTAGTAGACGCTCTTATCCAGAGCGACTTACAGGAGCAATTAGGGTTAAGTGCCTTGCTCAAGGGCACATCGACAGATTTTTCACCTAGTCGGCTCGGTGATTAGAACCAGCGACCTTTCGGTTACTGGCACAACGCTCTTAACCACTAAGCTACCTGCCGCCCTCTATCAACCCTTAATACAGTTTTGTAAATCAACTTTGTCAGACTACCTTAAAATAGTTTCAATCTTTGAAGCTTCAGGCTTGTCCAGTGTTTGCTGCACAGAGATAATAGTGTTGTATCTGCAAAAGTTCACCTCAGCGCCGTCACAGACAGATCTTCCCGGTCTGCCTGACCCTGATGAGACCCATGTCACCATCTAATCCTGCTCAGATGAGGCATGACAAAGAATGACCTTGGTGTACATTTATACATTATATTATCCAAGAATAGAATAAATGGTTCAATAATTGAAATGACCATTATTCCCAGATACCAGACTGTAGCCTACCCATCAACTCAAGATGGAACTTTGTATCCATTCACTGATTGTTAAAATATTATACTGCAAAATTCACCTGAGCTCCGTAGACTGGTCTTCCATGGCTGTCTGACCCTGCTGGGACACCTGTCACCATCTGATCCTGCTAAGACATGAAGAGCATAGTGTTGTGTACTGACTGTGCATCATGACCGTGAAGCCTGTAGAGCTGTGTATACAGTGTCAGTGTGACAAGTAGGGAATTAGCTAGGGAAACTGGCACATCAATAACGTTATTGCTATACTGACTGGGATTGGGGCAAAGATAATACCTAACATTAGCCAACTTTTGGCTAGCTCTAATGATATATCAACAGGTGAAAATGAGCCAAGTTAATTTACTTCTGTTGAAACAGGACAAAACTTAGGCTACAAAACATTTCCATACACACAACAGCTTTTAGATACTGCAGTGTGACCTGACAGATGACTAGAGCTGAACTGGCTGTGGTAGCTACTAGCTAGATAACGTTAGTTCATTCACTCCAGACAGAACTTCAGTCAAGATGGGATGAAACATTAGCTAATGTTACGTGTTAGTTACATTACTAGCTCAGCACTGGGAATAAATACTATTTTTTTGTTCAGTCTAATAGCAGTTACCTTGCCAGCTATATCAGTCAAATAAAGAGTAGCCAGTTTCTGCTCTGCTTGCTTTTACAACTCGGAGAAAAAGCACAACAGCTGCCTCTGTTCACACGCTCTGTGGTGTCTGCACAGTCCTAAATCCATCCGTCTGAAACCACCAAACAGCCTACCTGACCGCTCTGAGGCATCCACATGGTCCTAAAGCGCACCGATACCACTTTTTGTATCACAATGCAATGCTAAAACTGGGGGGGGACAAATATGCAATTTCAGAATGTGCAGTTCAGTGAATTCCCCCCCCCCCCATCCCCAGTGAAAGTTGCGCCCCTGATTTATCCTACTTCTAAGGATGATGGGGGGGGGGGGGGGGGGATTTCACTGAATTACTAAACGTTGGATCCCTCTCTTCTGTCACTCATCTGCCTCCTCTCCTTCTCTGTAGCATCATGAGTGCAGCAGTAGACTACCTAGCCCAGGAGAAGATCTGGTTTGATAAACCTCGCTACGATGAGGCAGAGAGAGATTTCTACGAACGCATGAATGGCACCTCACACCCAGCACAAGTAGGTAGTTTATCTGTGTGTGAATCCTCTCCCCAGTCTGTCATGTGTGTGTGCGCATCAGTGTCTGACCTGGTCCCCTGTACTTTACACTATAGGAGCTGGGAGCCAACAGCATCCTGCAGGACATAGCCCGGGCCAGAGAAAACATCCAGAAGTCCCTAGCAGGAGTGAGTGTAATATAATGCACATCTGAGCCTTCATACACCCCATCTCTCACATTATCTGCTTTAAAGCTGCACTGAAAGTAAGATCATCACCTTTTTAATGTAGATCATCTTTTGTAGTGTGTTATATGGTCAAAGACCCCCCCCCCCCCCCCCCCACACACACACACACACACACACACATGGCCAAATGTATGTGGACACCTGCTAGTCGAACATCTCATTCATGGGCATTAATATGGAATTGGTCCCTGTCGTATAAATATTTGACTCAAAAGTAGTCAACTCAAAAATATCTCTCAAACTGGAGCTTGTGAATCCAAAAATTAGACTTTTATTATCTAATAACAAAAGCCGAGCAGTTCCATGGAACGACTGTGTCGCTTTGGCTTAGCGCTCCCTTTTATACACACACAAATGCACAAACATGCTTACATGGCAAATACAGTTACCCCCTTATGGCAAATTCCTAACTTATTTTAGTTCTGCACCACCCTTTTTCAACGTCCAGCTGTCACACAATGTCCACTCCAAAAGGTCATGAATGCTTTTTTCTATATGAAGCCTCTCATCTTATCATTCTATTGGCTGCGTGGCTCAGGCCCCTTCTTAAAAAAGAACTAATGTAAAGCATACTGTGTCCATAATAAGTATATGGGTTATAGGTTAAGAGCTTTTGTGAAAGAGCACATGCATTCATTTAAAACATAGTATATACTACATGGCTATATTCCTTATTTAAGCATGCATCTGGATTATAAAATATCAAACATGTTTATTATATTTTACCTTTGGCATCTCCCTACATTTTCCTTAATGATACATAAAATATTTATATATCCCCTCTTTGCTGCTTTAACAGCCTCCACTCTTCTGGGAAGGCTTTCCACTAGATGTTGGAACATTGCTGCTGGGACTTGCTTCCATTCGACCACCAGAGCATTAGTGAGGTCAGGCACTGATGTTGGGTGATTAGGCCTGGCTCGCAGTCGGCGTTCCAATTCATCCCAAAGGTGTTCGATGGGGTTGAGGTCAAGTTCTTCCACATCCATCTCGACAAACCATTTCTGTATGGATCTCATTTTGTGCGCTGGGGCATTGTCATGCTGAAACAGGAAAGGGCCTTCCCCAAACTGTTGCCACAAAGTTGGAAGCACAGAATCGTCTAGAATGTCATTGTAAGCTGTAGCATTAAGATGTCCCTTCACTAGAACTAAGGGGCCTAGCCCGAACCATGAAAAACAGCCCCAGACCATTATTCCTCCTCCAACAAAGGTTACAGTTGGCACTATGCATTGGGGCAGGTAGCGTTCTCCTGGCATCCGCCAAACCCAGATTTGTCTGTCCGACTGCCAGATGATGAAGCGTGATTCATCACTCCAGAGAAGGTGTTTCCACTGCTCCAGAGTCCAATGGCAGCGAGTTTTACTCCACTCCAGCTGACACTTGGCATTGCACATGGAGATCTTCGGCTTGTGTGCGGCTGCTCGTCCATGGAAACCCATTTCATGAAGCTCCCAACGAACAGTTATTGTGCTGACGTTGCTTCCAGAGGCAGTTTGGAACTCTATAGTGAGTGTTGCAACCGAGGGCCGATGATTTTTACATGCTACATGCTTCAGCATTCGGCGGTCCCGTTCTGTGAGCTTGTGGCCTACCACTTTGCGGCTGAGCCATTGTTGCTCCTAGACGTTACCACTTCACAATAAAAGCACTTACAGTTGACCAAGGCAGCTCTCGCAGGGCAGAAACTGACTTGTTGGAAAGGTGCCGTCCTATGACGGTGCCACGTTGAAAGTCACTTAGCTCTTCAGTAAGGCCATTCTACTGTCAATGTTTATCTATGGAGATTGCATGGCTGTGTGCTCTATTTTATACACCTGTCACTGAAATAGCCGTGTGTACGTACGTACATACAGTACCAGTCAAACGTTTAGACACACCTACTCATTCAAGGGTATTTCTTTATTTTTACAATTTTCTACATTGTAGAATAATAATAATAATAGTGAAGACATCAAAACTATGGAATCATGTAGTAACCAAAAAAGTGTTAAACAAATCAAAATATATTTTATATTTCAGATTCTTCAAATAGCCACCCTTTGCCTTGATGACAGCTTTGCACACTCTTGGCATTCTCTCAACCAGCTTCACCTGGAATGCTTTTCCAACAGTCTTGAAGGAGTTCCCACATATGTAGTCCCGTGTAGCTCAGTTGGTAGAGCATGGCGCTTGCAACGCCAGGGTTGTGGGTTCGTTTCCCACGGGGGGCCAGTATGGGGAAAAAATTTTAATAATAATAATGTATGCACTCACTAACTGTAAGTCGCTCTGGATAAGAGTGTCTGCTAAAATGACTAAAATGTAAAATGCTGAGCACTTGTTGGCTGCTTTTCCTTCACTCTGCCAACCGACTCATCCAAAACCATCTCAATTGGGTTGAGGTCGGGGGATTGTGGAGGCCAGGTCATCTGATGCAGCAATCATCACTCTCCTTCTTGGGAAAATAGCCCTTACACAGCCTGGAGGTGTGTTGGGTCATTGTCTTGTTGAAAAACAAATTATAGTCCTACTAAGGCCAAACCAGATGGGATGCCGTATTGCTGCAGAATGCTGTGGTAGCCATGCTGGTTAAGTGTGCCTTGAATTCTAAATAAATCACAGACAGTGTCACCAGCAAAGCACCCCCACACCATAACACCACCACCTCCATGCTTTACGGTGGGAAATACATATGCAGAGATGATCCGTTCAACCACACCGCCTCTCACAAAGACACGGCGGTTGGAACCAAAAATCTCAAATTTGGAAAAATCTCAAATTTGGAAATTTGGACTGGTAAAGCTAATGAACTTATCCTCTGCAGCAGAGGTAACTCTGGGTCTTCCATTCCTGTGGCGGTCCTCATGAGAGCCAGTTTCATTATAGCGCTTGATGGTTTTTGCGACTGCACTTGAAGAAACTTTCAAAGTTCTTAATGTTCCGTATTGACTGACCTTCATGTCTTAAAGTAATGATGGACTGTCGTTTCTCTTTGCTTATTTCAGCTGTTCTTGCCATAATATAGACTTGGTCTTTTACCAAATAGGGCTATCTTCTGTATACCCCCCCTACCTTGTCACAACACAACTGATTGGCTCAAACGCATTAAGAAGGAAATAAATTCCACTGTTGAGCTAACGTGTGCTAATGTGATTAGCATGACTGTTTTAAGTAACAGCAAACTTTCCAGGACATAGACATGTCTTATATGGGCAGAAAGCTTACATTCTTGTTATTCTAACTGCACTGTCCAATTTACAGTAGCTATTACAGTGAAAATATACCATGCTATTGTTTGAGGAGAGTGCACAACAAAACTTATCACAGCAACTGGTTTGATACATTCACCTCTGAAGGTAAATAATGTACTTACATTCAGTAATCTTGCTCTGATTTGTCTTCCTAAGGGTCCCAGAGATGAGATGTAGCATAGTTTTGTTTGATCAAATCCATTATTATATTCAAATGTAGGAACTGGGTTCTATAGTTTGAACCCCTGCTGTCTCTGGCTCCACACCCACCCCGCCCGGCCATCTAGATGTGTGAAAGTTAGTGTATAAGCTAATGATCCATCATGTATGACATTCCTGGGAGTGTGTAAACTTACATTTTGTATTACCGTATCATTTTTGTATATTCTCTATAGTTATGTACTTGAAAATGTATCAATTGACCAATTCGGCACATTTGGGCAGACTTGATACAACATTGATCCAGTGAAGCATTGCAATACTGGACTATCTGAAACTTTGCACACACACTGCTGCCAACACACACTGCTGCCATCTAGAGGCCAAAATCTAAATAATGCCTAAACTGCAATAATATATTGTGGCCTTTCTCTTGCATTTCAAAGATGATGGAACCAAAAAAAAAAGAACGCATGTTTTTTTGTTTGTATTATCTTTTACCAGATCTAATGTGTTATATTCTCCTACATTAATTTCCCATTTCCACAAACCTCAGTGTTTTCTTTCAAATGGTATCAAGAATATGCATCTCCTTGCTTCAGGTCCTGAGCTACAGGCAGTTAGATTTGGGTATGTCATTTTAGGCGAAAATTGAAAAAAATGGGTCTTATCCTTAAGAGGTTAACTTTTTTGGTTACTACATGATTCCATATGTGTTATTTCATAGTTTTGATGTCTTAACTAATATTCTACAATGTAGAAAATAGTAAAAATATGGAAAAACCCTGGAATGAGTAGGTGTGTCCAAACTTTTGACTGGTACTGTATAAACAAACCTTTCTGAACTGGCCATATCTGACGACCCAGCTAAGACTGTTTCACAGCAACATTCTGTTTGACTAGCTAGGCGTGTTTATGTTGACCCTGAGCTGCTGACAAGATCCTTGAATACCCTGGGTCATATTCATTAGTGCACGCAACAGAAATCGTTTTTCAACAAAAATTAGAGTTTCTTATTGGACAAGTTCAGGTAATCGTGCCCCATTTCAGTTTGTTTTCTTCCTTTTGGTTTCTAGTGAACACAACCCAGGCCTATCACTTTCACTTAGAGAACAAACGGGTGTGTTTGATTTTCATGCTCTTTTTTAGCGAACAGGAAATCCAAAAGTATGATTTCACGAGCCGTCACAAGTGTCTTTGTCTGTGTTTCATTTCAGCCCTAGCCATTCCTGCTCTAGCCATACCTGCATGTTTCAGTAGCATATTGTGGCTTGTAACGCTGGTTTAAGCCTGTGTGTGTGTGTGTGGGTTTGCATGACTGACTAACACTTCATTCGTCTGCCAATTCCCCTGTAGACCAGTCCTCTGTATACCTCTGCCTGAGCCCTCTTGTAGACCAGTCCTGTGTATACCTCTGCCTGAGCCCTCCTGTAGACCAGTCCTGTGTATACCTCTGCCTGAGCCCTCCTGTAGACCAGTCCTGTGTATACCTCTGCCTGATCCCTCCTGTAGACCAGTCCTGTGTATACCTCTGCCTGAGCCCTCCTGTAGCTCTGTTTCCTTTCAACCACTGTCCCCTCAGCACCTTCAACCTAATTCAACTCTCTCCCTCCTTCCATCCTACCTTCCCTCCTTCCCTCCATCCTACCTCCCCTCCTTCCTTCCATCCCTCCCAACCCTACAGCTGAAGAATTCACTGTTACCTAGCAGAGGCTCTGCTCAACCCCAGAACCACTATTCTGTAAGTGTCCCACCCTGTGTGACAGTAGCTAGCTACCCCTTACTGAGAGCAATGTGACACTCACACAAACCCTTTTTCTGGCCACCCACCCTGACCGTCCTTTCACCCCTATCCACCTCATTCTCCTTGTATGATGGGTATGCTTCTCTCTGTCTCTGTCCCTGTCCACCCTCCTCTGAGCTTACTCTCTCTAGGTGCTGCTAAGATGGACGCCTGTGTTTGTGTATTATTATTAATTTTTTGAAGAGTTGTGATTGGTCAGTGTCAGGCTTCTTATATTTGGACACTTCTCTGTAGAATGTTAGAAGAGTCGACTGAAAACTCCACTGATCATCACCAAGACCACAGACTAGGGATGGGCAATGTTAATAGGATATCCGAATGGACGTTTTGTATTCTAACACTTCATTTGTCCCAGAAAAATTTAGGCCTATGAAAAAGCACAACAAAAAAAAGAATGGAAAAAGCTTTGTCTGAATTAATTTGTCGGTGCTTCATTTAATAAAACGATACACTTTAGCTAGAATGTAGTGTACAGCGCATTGAGCTACTGCTGCTTCAGATGTCATGTGGCTTTGACAGTCCATTGTTTATTTAGCCTACAGATCTGAGGATGTACAAAGTGATTGTTTTATTTTCAAGCTCATTTTCTATCTCGTGGGCTATGGGTTGGGTTTTACATGAAAAAGCATTTTACTATCATAGTGCATTTAGCCCTCCGGTCAGCCCTGACAAGGGTATGCTATTTTCCCCACTTCAAATGGCAATTACCCTATAGGCGCGCACCAACGGAGGTTCCACAGGACCTTACACAGATCAATGTGAAACACTCACCAGAACCTTTTTTTAAACAGAATCAGTTCCATGATGGTGAACATCAGCCTAGGCTAACGGCAACAGTGAGAGGTCTGAAAACAGCACACTGTCTGCTTTTGTGGCATTTTGCGTATTTCTAATTGGTCAAGAGTAGTATTTTTTTTTTTTTTTATGTTGACTCTGGATATCCACATTTTTATTTGTTTATTATTCGAATAGTTAAATCATTTAAAATGCCCATCCTTTCCACACTTTCTTCCTGAGTGGGAGGAGCATTGCATGAGCTGCAATTGTAGCTGTCATTCATTGTCTATTCTCTCTGCCTGTAGCTGTATTCATTTATGAACACAACATGTGACATAACTGTGTTGTTCACCCTATTGTGTCCTCAATTTAACTGATCATGTTACCTGGGTTTGGCCAGTAGAGGTCGCTGGTGATTCGCTTACAATGACATGCTAACTTTCGTGTGTGTGTTCAGAGTGCAGCTAATGGGACAGGAGATCAAGGGGAACTCGTCACACAGATCAAGATCCTGGAGCTAGAGAACCACAGTCTGCACCAAGGTATGTGTGTGTGGCGTCTGTGTATCTTACTCAAAGGTGCGTGTGTGCTTCCTTCCATGTGGTCTTACTGACTCTCTTTCCCCTGTGTGCCTTTGTCAGTGGTGGAGGACCTGCGGTCGGCTCTGTCTAAGTTGGAGTGTCGGGTAGCGGTCCTGGAGAAATCCCAGTCGCCAGCTGCAGCCTCCGTCCCTGCAGCACCCTGTACAAATGTAAGCCCCTCTCACGCTGGTCCTGTGTGGTGTGATATATTTGTCTTATATTATTGGTCTACTCCTCACCTCCTCAGGGCACATCCGTCCAGCAGAAGAAGACCAGTTCCCCGGTGGAGGATGAAGATGATGATATGGACCTGTTTGGCAGTGATGAAGAGGAGGATGCGGAGGCCGAGCGAATCAAAGAGCAGAGGCTGAAAGAGTATACAGAGAAGAAGGCCAAGAAACCCACCCTCATCGCAAAGTCCTCTATCCTATTAGACGTCAAGCCTGTATGTCACAGTTCCCACCCACTCTTCCTAATGTTCTCTCCATCACTTTACAGTATTTGATAAATATTTATGATGGTATATTTGTAAATTCCAGTGTGTGTTCATGACATTAATATCTGCCTTCCTGTCTCCTGGTTATGTTCTTCCCCCTTCCCTCCCCCTCTCTCTCCACCTTCCCCTCTCTCTCTCTCGCTCTCTCAGTGGGATGATGAGACAGACATGGCTAAGCTGGAGGAGTGTGTGAGGTCTGTTGTAGCTGACGGTCTGCTGTGGGGTCAGTCTAAGATGGTTCCCGTGGGTTACGGTATCAGGAAGCTACAGATCCAGTGTGTTGTCGAGGACGACAAGGTGGGGACAGACCTGCTAGAGGAGGAGATCACCAAGTTCGAGGACTACGTGAGTACAGACATGATTCATACACACGCACCTTTGACAGTATGCTATACTGCATGTTCTTGTACAGGTTATCTTACCCAAATGAGAGACGGTTGGAGACTGTTGCGTAGTTTATCTTGATGAATGTTCTCTATTCTCTTGTTCTGCAGGTCCAGAGTGTCGACGTAGCAGCTTTCAACAAGATCTGATTCCACCCTCTTCCTCGTCATTGGGCCCGTCCCACATGGCACCCTATTCTCTTTATAGTGCATTACTTTGGACCAGAACTCTATAGGCCAGGGTTCTCTGTTTTTTATTTCTACCTGGTAGTTAATTGCACTCACCTGGTGTCCCAGGTCTGAATTATCCCCTGATTAGAAGGAGAGGATGAAAAACAGAGGTGTTTCGGCCCTCCAGGACCGGAATTGAAGAACCCTGCTATAGGCCCTGGTCAAAAGTAGTGCACTATATAGAGAATAATGTGTCATTTGGGACTTGGCCATGTTCCCAGTCCGTCCCCTGCTGCAGTTTGTCACATGGTTAATAATAAAGAGCTTTTGGTGAACTTGAACTCCTCTTGTCTCTCTCTCTCTCTGGGTATCAACACATGTAAAGGGCATGTTGGGAACAACTGTAAATTACAATTTGTTGTAAACTTAATGGACAAAGTTTTGCTTAGCTTGTCTTACTAAAAGAGTGAAATCCATCCCTAGATGAGGTAGCCACATGCTCCTACAAGATGCACTGGAGTGTACAAAACATTAGAAACACCTGCTCTTTCCATGAGACTGACAAGGAGAATCCAGGTGAAAGCTATTATCCCTTATTGATGTCACTTGTTAAATCCACTTCAATCAGTGTAGATGAAGGGGAAGGGACAGGTTAAATCATTATTTTAAAGCCTTGAGACAACAGAGACATGGATTGTGTATGTGCCATTCAGAGGGTGAATGGGCAAGACAAAAGATTGAAGTGCCTTTGAACGGGGTATGGTAGTAGGTGTCAGGTGCTCCGGTTTGAGTGTGTCAAGAACTGCAATGCTGCTGGGTTTTTCAAGCTCAACAGTTTCCGGTGTGTATAAAGATGGTCCACCACCCAAAGGACAACCAGCCAACTTAACACAACTGTGGGAAGCATTGGCGTCAACATGGGCTAGTATCCCTGTGTAACACTTTCGAAACCTTGTAGTCCATGCCCTGACGAATTGAGGCTGGTCTGAGGGCAAAAGAGGGTGCAACTCAATACTAGGAAGCTGTTCCTAATGTTTTGTACACTGTATATCAGCCATTGATATGCAATACACTATTTTTACATGATGTATTGGCTTATGAAAACAAGCACAATAGATTCATTGACTGTAGAATGTTTTTTATTGGTGAATATTTTAGAAAGTTGACAGCAAAATGGTACACACTAGGAGAAAGGTTATAGGAATGTGGAAAATGTAAGATGACTGGAATTTCTCAGACTCCTGTGATTCACATGGTGTATATTATCAGCTCATATTACAGCCCATTCCTTTTCATTTATCTGCAGAAAATGCTTTCACAGACTGATGTAATGGTTCATTGCTCTAATATCTGTCTCTACCATGTACAGTACATCCTGTGTGCTTCTTTTCTACAACCTCTTCTATTGGGCATCAAACCAAACCAAGCCAAAACCCAGGGCAGAGATCATCTGTGAATTCAGTCTCAACCTTATGGAGGAGTGCCAGTACACCATTTGTCAAGCTGGCGTTGTTGAGGTAGGAAAGAGTTCCTGCCTCATAGTCAAGGAATACTCCAACCCTGGAGGTAATGACGCCCCAATCCTGGAGGTAATGACACCACCACCAGACACAGATCTCCTTTATGTTGTGCCAGAAAGAGACGCCAGTGGTGCATTCTAAGCTCCAGGACAAAGCATTGCGTCCAAACCGACACTTATTAAAACAGACCATCTCTTTTGATGCTGTCATATGAGACTGCTATTTCAACACCCTCCTCCCCACTCCATGCCACCTCCCAGTAATAACGATCTTTCTCACTTATTTTCAGTGGTGCACACATCACTTGAGCGATGTATGAATCTTGCAGGAACGTTGTCGTGTCTCTTGTGTTTGGTCCATCCTTGTCACAACTCTGTTCTTCTCCATCAGTTGCAGTTTCTTAAATGCTGTATCAGGATTCGGCTGAAGATCAATGTAATCTGCAGCCAGAAAGGAAAATATACTTTAAATGTTATTGTAAATATAATCATACTTTTACTTGTAGTTCATAATTTTATTGTAGTTAATTTTTATTTATTTTACCAGGTAAGTTGACTGAGAACACATTCTCATTTACAGCAACGACCTGGGGAATAGTTACAGGGGAGAGGAGGGGGGATGAATGAGCCAATTGGAAGCTGGGGATGATTAGGTGGTCATGATGTTATGAGGGCCAGATTAGGAATTTAACCAGGACACTGGGGTTAACAACCCTACTCTTACGATAAGTACTATGGGATCTTTAGTGACCACAGAGAGTTAATACACCCATTTAATGTCCCATCTGAAAGATGGCACCCTACACAGGGCAATGTCCCCAATCACTGCACTGGGGCATTGGGATATTTTTTTAGACCAGAGGAAAGGGCGCTTCCTACTGGCCCTCCAACACCACTTCCAGCAGCATCTGGTCTCCCATCCAGGGATCTTGCTACATGTTTGCTTTAACTTGAACTGGATGAACATGTGTGTGTGACCTCTGTGTGTTTGGATGTTTTGATTAGTTGATAATAGGAATGTTTATTTGTCTCTGTCTAAGCCAATAAATAGATGTTCATGATGTTAGCTAATCATTACAGAGCTGTGAGGAAAATTCTGCATAAGTGTTATGAGTTTCTGGTATCGAGAAGTTCATGATGCAAGAGAGTATGGGACACAGATGGAGAGTTTTTCAGACATTATTTAATGGTTACAATAATGGATTCAATGACAGGCGGTACGGACGTAGCCTCTTGTCATATGAATGACTTCCATACAAAATCCCTCAGTTTATACACTGCTCAAAAAAATAAAGGGAACACTAAAATAACACATCCTAGATCTGAATGAATGAAATAATCTTATTAAATACTTTTTTCTTTACATAGTTGAATGTGCTGACAACAAAATCACACTAAAATTATCAATGGAAATCAAATTTATCAACCCATGGAGGTCTGGATTTGGAGTCACCCTCAAAATTAAAGTGGAAAACCACACTACAGGCTGATCCAACTTTTGATGTAATGTCCTTAAAACAAGTCAAAATGAGGCTCAGTAGTGAGTGTGGCCTCCACGTGCCTGTATGACCTCCCTACAATGCCTGGGCATGCTCCTGATGAGGTGGCGGATGGTCTCCTGAGGGATCTCCTCCCAGACCTGGACTAAAGCATCCGCCAACTCCTGGACAGTCTGTGGTGCAACGTGGCGTTGGTGGATGGAGCGAGACATGATGTCCCAGATGTGCTCAATTGGATTCAGGTCTGGGGAACGGGCGGGCCAGTCCATAGCATCAATGCCTTCCTCTTGCAGGAACTGCTGACACACTCCAGCCACATGAGGTCTAGCATTGTCTTGCATTAGGAGGAACCCAGGGCCAACCGCACCAGCATATGGTCTCACAAGGGGTCTGAGGATCTCATCTCGGTACCTAATGGCAGTCAGGCTACCTCTGGCGAGCACATGGAGGGCTGTGCGGCCCCCCAAAGAAATGCCACCCCACACCATGACTGACCCACCGCCTAACCGGTCATGCTGGAGGATGTTGCAGCAGCAGAACATTCTCCACGGCGTCTCCAGACTCTGTCACGTCTGTCACGTGCTCAGTGTGAACCTGCTTTCATCTGTGAAGAGCACAGGGTGCCAGTGGCGAATTTGCCAATCTTGGTGTTCTCTGGCAAATGCCAAACGTCCTGCACGGTGTTGGGCTGTAAGCACAACCCCCACCTGTGGACGTTGGGCCCTCATACCACCCTCATGGAGTCTGTTTCTGACCGTTTGAGCAGACACATGCACATTTGTGGCCTGCTGGAGGTCATTTTGCAGGGTTCTGGCAGTGCTCCTCCTGCTCCTCCTTGCACAAAGGCGGAGGTAGCGGTCCTGCTGCTGGGTTGTTGCCCTCCTACGGCCTCCTCCACGTCTCCTGATGTACTGGCCTGTCTCCTGGTAGCGCCTCCATGCTCTGGACACTACGCTGACAGACACAGCAAACCTTCTTGCCACAGCTCGCATTGATGTGCCATCCTGGATGAGCTGCACTACCTGAGCCACTTGTGTGGGTTGTAGACTCCGTCTCATGCTACCACTAGAGTGAAAGCACCGCCAGCATTCAAAAGTGACCAAAACATCAGCCAGGAAGCATAGGAACTGAGAAGTGGTCTGTGGTCACCACCTGCAGAACCACTTCTTTATTGGGGGTGTCTTGCTAATTGCCTATCATTTCCACCTGTTGTCTATTCCATTTGCACAACAGCATGTGAAATGTATTGTCAATCAGTGTTGCTTCCTAAGTGGACAGTTTGATTTCACAGAAGTGTGATTGACTTGGAGTTACATTGTGTTGTTTAAGTGTTCCCTTATTTTTTTGAGCAGTGTATAATGCTCTCCCGATCTACTTCTGTCCAACATCTGCCAACCATCATTGAGTGTCACTCATCTACCACAATAGCATCCCCATACTTGGTGTTGTCACCCCAGACAGGCCATTCCCTCACGTACACCTTCTAAGATTATCACAAGTGGCCCCCAAACTATCTTGGCACGCAGACCTTCTGTCCCTCCCCAGTGACCTCTATAACACATGGCGTGTCCTTGTCCTCGCTCCCTCACATACATCTTATGAGTTTTACATACATGAATGAATCTTGTATCACAAATCATTATAACAATAAGTCTGGCGTTGGGAAAGTTCGGCTGGTCATAAATAGCAGGGAAACTAAAGAGAAGAAATGAAACCTACGTGGGAAATACCTTGAGACTATGCATTAAGTAATTATGTTATAGTCACTTTAATGCAAAGACATAGAATATGAGACATAGAATAGTATATATTCTGTAGCCTATATTCATTCAACTCTTAAGTGCGATAAAGGATAATAATAAAACGCATGTTTAGTAAAAGCAAATAACTTACACATTAAATGCTTTCAATATTTGTATATGAAATTCTACAATTTATAGTTGGTTTGAGGTTCTGAAGTCATTGAAATATTGAGCTGTTGGAATTTTAACATGTTGTCCCATGTACATTATGTAATTTACCGATGGCCCCTAACTAGCCCCATATGGATATCCAAAGTAAAACCAAATTTACCACGGGCATTACGATTGGGTTGTGTGCAGCTGCACTCCGAATTCAAGATTGCTTGTGTGCTGCCAGCTGTGGGCATGAGGCAGGATTAAAACAAACCCAACCTTCATTCACGTTGTGATGCAGTCACGACCACAAGTCTCACAAAACTTGGACAGTTTTGGACAAGACTGACTTTATCACCAAAATTATTCTATTTACACTTTGTACAAAATGTTGACAGTATAATAAATGTTTCTGACCATATCGATGCCATATCGGCTGTTTTCTAAATGAGAAGTTGACTTTTAGGGTCAGTTGCTCTTTAAAGTGGTCAATTTCTTCTACTATGAAAGTGTGCATACTGCCACCTGGAGTGTGTTGTCTGAACAGGTATAAAGCCAAGGTTGGTGATTTACTGTCACCTGCAGTTATGGAATGTTACTAAGGGTGTTAAATTAATTGTCTGATCTCTCCTGATGACCTGTATGGAATTATGTGATTCTTCCTTAACCCATTGGAAGTCCCACCCAGTTGACTTCTTCAAATTTGTGAACATCCTCAATAGCGCTACTCATGCTGAAACGGGCGTTGGGGCACTAGAGCTGTGGGTGATGGGTTGTAGGGCCCAGGGGCGGACTGGGACAAGAATTTGGCCCTGGCATTTGATCAGCACCAGCCCACATCACTGTGAGCTCTGTCAACTCATATCCATTATAAAAGCCAAGCTAACAACTTAGGCTTTATTGCAAATTAGTGCCTGTCCTGTGTTCCCCTGATGCAACACCTACCCTGAGTGTTAATTCATTACTATCACTGGGCTCCAGACTAACATTTTCCCCTGGTGTCACTGGTGCTGTTAACTTTTACAGTTGGTGGCACCAGGCCATGATTTTGTCAGACCTAAATCATGAGTACTCATCTTATAAAGTAATTCATAGAGTTTTATTAAGAAGTGTAATAAATAGACTACTGAGTTATTCAAAAATTAAGTTGCTTCATTTAACACATCCAAGCAGAAATGCTAGATATTGATGTGCAACCTAATCCAGTGATTGTCATGAATTTTGACTGTAAGTTGATATATTTGACTGTCCAAATAGGACTCCAGAATTTCCTTTTTTTTGTTCAATAGATATGAATTACATACATCTTTAAATGCACTAACTATCATTGGCTATTAATTTGGGGTTCAACACCTAAGGAAGTAGAAACTTAAAACACATTAACTAGATCACCCACTGTAAATATAATACCCACTGCTAGTAGCCATGTAGTCATCCAACAGTAAATTGTATGTCCTAAGAAAGTTTGATTGATTGATCGATTAAGTCAAAGCTACAGTAGTCTGCTGTGGCAGGTTATATTTAGTCTACTCTACTGTATATAATCTATGATTCTATTTCTGTGATGTGTACACAGAACACTGGTGGTGTGAGTTAGTCTCACCTGCAGTAGTTCTGACTGAGGCTGCGTCCCAAATGGCACCCTATTCCCTACATAGTGCACTACTTTTGACCAGGGCATATAGGGCAGTAATTTATAGGGAATATGGTGTGATTTGGGACACAAACTGAGCATGCCAGTCAGAGCTGATACTGTTATATTATCGTCACCACAACATGACACGTCATCAATTCATCAAGGTCCCCTAGTAACCTTGCTGAGAAACATTTTTAGTTTGCATGCATTTGCATGGTTTAATATCTGCTTCAATATCAAACAAGTGTGTGTTTACTTTTCATGCTCTGGTT